TTGAGCAGCTAGAAGCCTTTATTAGACAAGAATGGGACAACATTCCTATTCCTAAACTTGAGCAACTTGTCTCCTCAGTCCCCAGACGTTTGCAGACTGTTATTAAAAGAAGAGGGGATGCCACACAGTGGTAAAAATGACTTTGTCCCAACTTTTTTGAGATGTGTTGATGCCATGAAATTTAAAATCAACTTATTTTTCCCTTAAAATTATGCATTTTCTCAGTTTAAACATTTAATATGTCATCTATGTTGTATTCTAAATATAATATTTAAATTTGAAACTGCATTGAAATTGCATTCTGTTTTTATTCACAATTTGTACAGTGTCCCAACTTTTATGGAATTGGGTTTGTAAGTCAACATAATATATTGTAATAATATAATATATATACAACATAATATAATGTATCTATAACGAGATATTCCAACCCGATCTCGTAATTTACGACCTGACTCTTACGAATTTGTAAAAGTTTTGCTAAACGTACATATTTTACGATTTGCCCCATTCGCTTGAATTCGTAATGACCTACCCCTGACCCTGACCCTAAACCTACCTGTCTCTGGGGTTTAGACAAATCTAGAATTCGAATTAGCCACCTCGGAAAATACATACAAATTGGTCAAGAGCTCACATGTAGGGGAACTTCACCAAAGAAGAAATGTCCTGCTCTCTCATTTCCTTCCTGAGTTATTGCATGTCAAATAAGAAAGATATGTAAAATTAAAATTACCTCATGGATTTCATCTAAAAAATGTCTTCATTTGTGTTCTGAAGATGAACAAATGTCTTACGAGTTAATGACATTATTGACACAATTTTCATTTATGGGTGAACTAACCTTTAATGTTTGTATAGACACTTTTTAAGGTTTACAGACATCCAAATAAGTAGCATATTTTATTGTTACACCTACTTCAAAATTTCATGTTTAATAAATAAATTAGCGATTTCTGAGTGGAAATTGTCTCTACACAATTTATTCTCAGTGTAGTTCCAAAATGATAGTATAGGCTACCTGATTAAAAAATGTATTGAATGTATTGAAATGTATTGCAAACATTTTGTTTAAGAAGAGTATTGCAAATCTCATTTGGTTTCATGTGAGTCTCAGTGTGTCTTTATACACATGCAATCAACCCAATGCATGTCTGAAAAAAGGTCAGTATATTGTCAATGTTGTTGTATTTGAATTAAGCACATTATTAAAGCTCCAACTTGTTATATCAACAGCCTTTTTTGTGTGTATGCATGCATATTTGGTTCAATATAGTGTAAATGATTTCAGTTCCTATAAATAGCACATTATTATGTGATTTGCCCTTTGAGATTTGTGAAAGATATTGGCCCAAAACTGAATCTGGCAGCACATTATGAATCTCACCAGCACAAAGGGCTGCTTTAGCATGTGATTAGAGGTTTAATAATGCAACGCTTCTCTTGGTCTTTGTGTGGTGATATTGATTTTTTAAGATCCTGTCACAGAGGCTCTATGATTCCTTTACGAAGCCTCTGCCATATTCTCTTAATTGGAGTCTGTCATTTTTTAATTTCGCATCTGACACAGTCAAGTTTTGACATTGCTTTGGGTCGCCCAATCTGTTGTGCAAATACTCTTTGTCAGTCTAAATAATGTCACCAACTGGCGCTTGTCACATGTTTCTCTTCTGAATTTCATCTCATCATGTACTTCATTATACCGTACTGATGGCAACAGATGTGAAATGTAATCTGTGCGAGAGCAAGTCTCAGACTTTTTAAAAGTCTCACCCATCCACAATAAGTCAATCACAATCAATCATCAGGTGCATGTCAAATAAATCAGCGGAAATAAACTTCAGGCAGCACTTTGCATCCATTGCTCAAAATGACGCCTGGAAAACAAGCAGGCAGGCATGATAAAGTGCATTGGATTTGACACTTTACAATTTGATCGATAGCACATAAATAAGGGCAGATCGGTGGATAAAGAAGGAGGAAAGGGGGAAATCAAAATGGTTGTAGTGTTTATTTTTTGTTCTTTTAATATCTGCATCTTCCCTGTACAATCATCTCAGTTGGTGATCACGAAAGTTTTCAAAAGTGTATTAGTCTGTCTGGTTCAAGTTTGAACAAATGTCTCTGTATCAAAGATAGCCAAAATATTTTCCCCCCATGTGTTTCTCTGTGTGTGTTCTGTTTTCCCAATATAAATAATGATTGGGTTGGATATATATTCCAGCTAAAACAACGTAGACAGATTGTATGAGTTATGCATGTTTTGTTATCTGTGTCCTGTCCTTGCGGGTGTGCTGAAGAGCTAAAGGAAAGCGTCAGTTAGAGGACACGGTTAGGTTTAGGTGTGGGGTCGGGGTAGGGGTAGGGTACACGCGATCCATATCTAACTGACGCTAAAGGGCGCCTAAAGCGTCAGATATTGAAGCATGTCCAAATGCGTCCCAAGGTGTCAGTTAGGTGACGCCTTGAGGGTGAGAATGGGCTGTCTTGTATAGTGTAAAAAATGAGACAGCACATGAAATTTGTATTTAACAAATATTTCCATGGTGAAAAAATATCTAAACATTTTGACCAGTACAGCTCACGCGATGCCAAAAATACTTTTTATATTGGTGGCTTTGTCAAGTTTACAGACACAAGGTTTTGAAGCATGAATTAAATGCTTTGGGTGAGTTACTACATTTTGCAGACATGCAATAAAGTTCTGAGCTGAGATTCCTGAAACCTTCTTAACGCTACATCGTTCTTATGTTACAACTTAAGCTTTACCTTATCGTTAATATGTGTTTCCCGAAACGTTCTTAGTTAAGTATACCTTTTGTAAGTGATGCGTTCGGAAAGTTGGTCTGGAGCATTCTTAGCCTTATCACTGACTACGTTTACATATTGCGTCTTAAGGTTGTCCGTACGTCTAGACGCTAACCACGCATCGCCGTTTACATCGGGATATTGCAATTCCATGTATACAGGAGAAACTCTCTCTGCTCACGCATGTAAACGGGTTATTCGTAATGTTTCAGAAACCCGAATAGTGACCTTAACCTGACCATAACCTGAAAATTGGCTGCATGTAAACATAGTCATTGTTGGCAGTTCATTCCACTAGTGGGCACCACTGCAAAAAGTTTCTTTACATCTTAGTCTATACGAATATTATTTTAAATTTAATACACCCAGTGTTCAATTAAGCTAATTCAATTTGCATGAAAATTTTTTCATGCAAATAATAAAATTGTCAAAACACTAATTGCTGTTAGCTTTTTAATTATATTATCCAAAGGTACATCAGCTGGCAAACCATTCGAAAGTAAAGGCTTATTCGTCTATTTAAAGAGAATGACTGTGGTGGGGAATTTGGTCAAACTACTTGGTAGCGATACAGCGAATTGTGCTAAATCAAAGACGGCGCTGCCCATTTTCATGGCAATGCGTTCCCAGGTATCTTTTTTTTCGTTTTGTTGGACACATATACAGGTTCTGTATACAGTCAAATGCAAAAGGAGCAATAATGATAAAAATTACTTAAGAAATACTGGATCTTCTGGTTTTCAGTCTCATTCCTGATACTGATGAGGTCTGTGTGATGTTATCTGCAGTAACTCTTACTCTGAGCCTCAGTCCAGGTTTTTGATATGAAAACCCCAAAATAACTTGCACTGGCATCTGTCTTCCTGGGAAATGCAGCATTAGAGCATTATTAGTAAGAGGCTGGTTATTTCAAATAATAATTAACTTATTTTCATTGTCCTATATAAAAATCAACTGCTCACCATCATAACAGACAAAAGGATTGTGTATTGGAGCAGTATGATGTATACACGCACACTTTGTCCTCCATAATAGTTTGGTCCTTGGTCATACCAATTCCTGAAGTCTTTCCTTCCTTCCTTGAAGAACTCATTGTCCTAGAGTCCATTTCCAACTGTTCAGATAATCATAGAGTCCAACCCAGGCCAAATCAATGGAATCATCATTGTACAATATACATATTACACAAACTACTTTTTTATATCATTCCTCCTGTGTTGTTTGTATCTAGTAGGTGGATATATTTAAAAATACAATAATAATAAGAATAAATATTCTTTAATATTATTTGACATAATAATAAAATTAATTATTTTTGCAAGGCTTACCTTTTTTGGTTTGATTTATACTTTTTTTCTGCCTGTTTTCTGGCCAGATTATGTCACTGTCTTAAAATGTATAATGGTTTGCAAAGAAGGGGTGGATCATTTCTTTGAACACTCATGATATGATGAAACTTGTATCACAAAGCTGCCCCATCAAATGTACTCTATGAGAACATTGTGAGTCTGCAGTAACAATGGTTAAAGAGGCTTAGTGGATGTTCCGTTCCGGTCCAAACTGGTTATATCTTATACAGTAATGAAAAGGATTTCTATTTTATCCGTGCAGTTGCCTTCGTCAAACAATGTGATTTACATGTATTCCCAGCCCATTCTCGCCGTAGGATAGCGTCATGTAAGTGACGCTAAAGGGCGCCTAAAACGTCAAATATTGAAGCATGGTCAAAGGTGACGCCTTGGGGTGAGAATGCGTTGGTATTCCAAACTTCTGCATCTGTGGTTGCACAAAATTGGCCTTCTTGAATATTCAAATAAATAGCAGAGAATACTTAAATAAACAGCATACAATATGACTCCATCATTGCAAATCTAAACAAGTAAACAGTTTAAGGATGCACCAAATTTTCAGCTCTAGATACTCAAAACCAACATTTTTGAAAAGGATACAGTATGTGAAAACAGTCCTGTAATCTCCAGATCCACAGATTAACAAATGCACATGGGAGTCCTGAAATGCATGCAACAGATCCTATTGAACGATTTCATGTTTATTAATAAATTGGTTGAGGAAATAATTCAATAACTCTTTCACAGTGCAATCATATATTTAATTAATGAATTATGTTGAATGCGAAAAAATTGCGCTCAACTGAGTCGAATAGATTTTTTTTATTTCATGAGAAAACGTGCATAAACTACAATAGAAACACATTTATTAGGGATGCACTCATGCACAGAAATGAAAATGCTTGGCCAACCCCAAACCGAAAATGCTTTTAAAAAATGTACTTTTTTGTATTTGCATTAATATTAGACTTTAGGAAATTCAGGAAAAAATAATTTTCCAATAAAATAAAGTGATCACACTTTTAATGAAAGTACCACAATAAAATTGGACAGAAAATAAGCTTCATTCATATTAAATATCAATATATAATTAAAATTTTATACAACATAATCAGATTTAACAGATTTTTTTTGACCAATTATTAAAACAATGCAGAGTAATATATAAAGCTAAAGCTATGGGTATTATCAGGGCATGTGAGCTGAGCATAGTAAGGGGTGGATCATTGAACAAAAGGGTACAGGACGGCTATACCACACCTATAGGGCACTTGCAAACAGAGACAAGCATATTTCTACATAGAAATTTCATGTTGCCACGTTGTTTGAGTGGACTTTGCTTTTGAATGAGAAGGTACATGAGTGGAGCGTTTGCATGGGCCTTGACCATCAAAAAAGAAATGTGACTTTGCAGTGGGACGGCATAACTGGAACAGCCAGCCGCGGACCGAAAAATATCATTATAATGTTTGGTTGATGACTAATAAATTACTATAAATTTTATCAGACAGATTAACAAATCATCCAACCATCTATTCCCCAAATTGATTGTTCCGTACAGGGCCACACGGATGCTGAAGCCAGTGTCTCGGGGCAAATTAACAAATCATTGCCAGTGCAACACATAATGACACAAATAGTTTGATTAGTTCGGTTATAGAAAAGTTCTGATATGAGTACAAGCAACTTAGTTTTGTTTTAATCAAAACCCCCTTCATCTTATATTTGTTAAAAAAGAAAAAAAAATCATGTGACATTCAAAATTTCTATTGTCAATAGGACAAAGATTATGCAAAATGCAGAAACACAAACCCTAAAACCATGTTTGTGTGTGCACAAATTCTGTTCATGGATCTCTCATGGTTTGATTTTCAGATAGTTTCTCAAATGCATTGTGAAGTTGCTGGGAAGTCCTCGTCTGATAAATTCTTCCTGGAGCTGAAACATAGGATTTTTTTTTCTTCTGTGAGATATTTTTGAGCTAAATATATTACAAAGATCTGTAAATAATAACAACAATAATAATAATAATTATTATTATTATTTCTGTCAGGACCACTATCGTCAAATATAATTTTACAATTAGCATACAGTTTGGATTGGCGGTATGTTTCTGTTCTGGGCAAGAACTACCTGCGCATGTACAGCAGCAATAACCTCCCTTTAACAGAGCAGAACCAACGTGAATGTATTGCAGATATCGTTAATTCAAGATTTTAATGTACAACATAATTCGAGAATTTAGTCTGATTCAGTAATCAGAATGCCAGACCTGCCAGAACTGACGCTACGCTTGATCATTATTATGCTGTTGTGAAGTTGTTCTAAAGTAATCTATTTATTTTGCATGTGTTTTTGTTTGTTTTTGTGCAACAAAAACTAAAAGCATAATGAGTGTTTTGAACTGTTTCTCACCTGTATAATCACAAACTCTTCGATCTGAGACTCTGACAGATTTTCCGCACTTGTAAGTTCAACTCTCAGTCCCATCACTGATCAGTAAAAAAAAAGAACACTGGTCAGTTGTGAATGAATACAAACAATACAATCAGGTAATGTTGATGTTGAAAAACACTAATTTTAGACTGAAAACAGCACATATCTCCACAAACATACCATATACATCTGAATTGATGGGTCAATATGATGATCATCATGTTCACCAGAAAACAAATAGAAGACAAAGCTAGCATTAGCATAGAAGTTTGTGAATTACACAAATAACAATGAATATTAACACCAACAATTTTCAGATAAATGTGCGTGTTTTTCCCCCCCTGATGCTTATTTTATTATTGTAATTACAGAAGGTGTATTTGCTTACCACTGTAACAGAAGAAAGGCAAACTGGCAGAGCAGCTTTCATCCGTCCACAGACCAGAGTATTTTAGAGACGCAGCTGTGCAGTGTTGAGCTCCCCTCAGTCCTGGGATATTTGCACCATTATCTGGTTGTGCAGCAACACCTTCAGTATATGGCAGCCAGTATGTGAAGGAAGAGCTGCTCTGATCTGACCACACTCTTTTTCTATGCAGACCAATCCACACATAACCAGAATAAGAATGTGTAACATTCAGTATCTGTTGACGCTCTGTCTCATTTCTCACACTGGCCAGGTCTGTGTATTTCTCTCTGCAGTAGCTCTGAGCTCCAGTCCAAGTCCTTACCTCATTTACCCAGATATACTTCTGAGAGGCATTACCCATACCTATAATACAACAATTAGTGTAAATCAGTCAATTTAGTTGTTATTTGTCAAATTTATAGCTATATAATAAAATACATTTTGAAAACAAAAAACATTACTAATTAGCCTCATCAAAGAGTGAAAAACAGTCTTTCTTTTTCCCCCCCAAGAATTTAGGGTTTAAATGTGGAAGAATATTGAACATTTCAGGATCGTTCAGCACTCTCAGAAAAAAAGGTACAAAAGCTGTCACTGGGGCTGTACCTTTTCAAAAGGTACACTTTTGTACCTTAAGGGTGCATATTGGTACCTTAATGGTATTAGCACCTAAAATGAACATATATCAACACTTAAACTGTACATATTAGTACCTGAAATGTACATATTAGCACCTATTAGCACCTAAAATGTACATATCAACACTTAAAATTTACATATTAGTACCGGAAATGTACATATCAGCACCTGAAATGTACATATTGGCACCAAAAATTTACATATTAGCACATAAAATGTATATATTAGCACATAGAATGTACATATTAACACCTAAAATGTACATATCAACACTTAAAATGTACATATTAGTACCTGAAATGTACATATTAGCACATAAAATGTATATATAAGCACATAAAACGTACAAATTAGTACCTAAAATGGACAAAAGTGTACCTTTTGAAAAGGTACAGCCCCAGTGACAGCTTTCGTACCTTTTTTTTTTTGAGAGTGAGGCCTGAAAATCCCTTTTTTTTTTGACAAATCTCAAAGCAAAAGAAGATAATATTTTTTTTTACTTGTAATGTCTTACCATTGTAGCAAACGAATGTGTAAATAATTTCACATGATGAATCAAACCAGTTTCCATTATAATCCATATAAATACACTGTTCATTCCCATTTTCATTGTTGGGTTCATGATACCAGTTCCTGAAATCTCTCTCTCCTTCCTGGTAGAAATCATTGTTTTCCAATGACCATCTCCAGCTGTTCACATCATCATACAGTCCAATCCAGGCTGAGCCATTGTAACTCCTATTAACTGTGTTTATCAGACTGTTCATTTCCTCCATGTTATCAATGGTGGCCAGATCAGTGTAATTCTCTCTGCAGTGTCTCTGAGCTTCAGCCCAGGTCTTAGACTCATTCACAAAGTGATACTCCCGGGATGATGCTAATGCTGGCAAGGTGGGGGGAAAAGTGCATGATAAAGATTATTTGTAAGGAGGACATTTTGGATTTGGAATTAATGAACTTTTGTTTGGAATTAATGAACTGTTTGTTGACCAAATAAGAGGATCAAAATATACATTTTACATATTTTGATAACACTTTACAATAAAGTGTCATTAGTTATGTAATGTTTGTAACTAACATTTTTAACATTAGTCACATATAAAACTAAATGTTACTAACGTTTAAAGAGCAATACGTTAATGCTAGCTCAGGTTAATTAAAAATATTTTTTAATAATAATGTTTTTTAATAAATGTTGAAATTAACATTAACTAAGATAGGCAAATGCAAAAAAATAAATCTTTTTTAGTTCATGTTAGATAATTTAGTAAACTAGTTTTACTAGTACAATTAGTGCAATTACCATAGTGATTGTAACTAGTGTTACACATAATTCATTAAATTAATTAATTAAAACATTAATCTGATGAAAAAATAAATCTGGAAATGTTGAATAACATTTCTAAATAAATAAATGCTGTCTGTCAGAGATTAATGAACACTTAAGTCAACCTTGTGCATTTCTTAACAGAGCATGTAATACTGCACGTAATACTCACCACTGTAGCAAATGAAAGGTAATACATTATTGCAGTTTTCATCTGTCCAGCTCCCAGACTCACTAAATGACACTGCAGTGCAGTATTCACGGTTTCCAGCATTATCTGGCTGCCATATCGCCCAGTTACTGAATGAAGAGTTGCTCTGATCTGACCAAGATCTGGTTCTGTACAATCCAATCCAAAAAGAAGAATAATAAAACAATAAAGACTGAAGTTTGAGGTTTTCAGTCTCATTCCTGATACTGACGAGGTCTGTGTGATGTTCTCTGCAGTAACTCTGAGCTTCAGTCCAGTTTTTGAACTGGGAAACATACACGTAACTTGTACTTGCATTCACTCTTCCTGCGGGGAAAATATGCATGTGTGATATATCCATGGTATCATAAATAGATTTTTCTAAAAACTTTAAAAAGTCAACTGGAATTCTTACCATCATAGCAAACAAATGGAAGTGTATTGTAACAAGAGATTTCACGCCATATTCTCCAATTAGATGACATGAACACACACAGACTCTGTCCACCTGAGTTCACTGGTTGCTGGACATACCAGCTTTTAAATCCTCCCAATAATGTTGTATTGTCCATAGACCATTCCCAGCTGTTCAAATCATCATAGAGACCAATCCAAGCTTTGCCATAGTAAGTCCGACGTGCTGTTTTAATGAGCCTGTTCATTTCCTCCATGTTATCAATGGTGGCCAGATCAGTGTAATTCTCTCTGCAGTGTCTCTGAGCTTCAGTCCAGGTCTTTGAATCATTTACAAAGTGATACTGATGGGTGCATGAAGAATGTGTGCAGGTTCCTAGTTTAAAATAAACATAGAAATACATTTGATAACTCTTTGCAATCACCAATATCACGAAACAATTAAAATGGTTTTATTCTGAAAGTTTTTCAAATGCAATTTAAATTAAAGCTGCAAGCAGTATTTATCGGGGTTCAAGCGGGTTAAGGTCCTGTTCTTCGTGATATCATGTTTCAAACCTTAGTAAGTGTGCAATGTTGTTGTTAGAGTATAAATAATAGCTGTAAAATTATAAAGCTCAAAGTTCAATGCCAAGCGAGATATTTTATTTATCAGAAGTAGCCTACATCGAATGGCCCGTTTGGACCGTTTCTGAGAGTTTCTGATATTATCATCATTCCGTGAGATGAAATTGTCCTGAGAGACTAATGGTGCGTTCACACCGGACGCGAATAGCGCGTCAGGCGCGAATGATTTCAATGTTAAGTCAATGCAAAGATGCGTTACGCGCGTAAAAAAAATCCTGCAGCGCGAATAAGGCGTAGAGCGTGGCGCGGAAGACACGGATACGCTGCGCGAATTGAGCGTCTGGCGCGTTAAGCGCGAATGATTTAGTTAGTGCTATTTGTGCATTCACACGTTTGACGCGAATTCGCGCCTGCCGCCCGGGTTGAAAAATCTGAACTTTGGCGTCAATTCACGTTGCGTTAACCAATCAGGAGCCTAGCTGCTTGCTCACGTGGTGAAGTATCTGGGTGCTTCAATAAATTATTTTGTAATATGACTAAATGCATGGTGGAATTATGCACAACAAAGCAAATATTTTATCACTTAAAACTTTATTTCTATATACAAGACATATTCATTTTGTATTGAATGTTATTCATTCCATATCAAGATTATATGAAATATTATTATGATGTAAAGACAACCAACATACATGTGCATAAGTTCGTGTCTGGACGTGAGAGAGAAAATAAACACAGGACAGGTTAATAACTTTTGAAGGCTGGCTCTATTTAGCATCAAAACAAAAATAAATGACAGCTAGATTATATGGATGAGGGCGAGGGTGATCCTCGCTCCGACAACAGGTCATCAAACTGGCCGCGTGACAGGCGGAAGTACCGCTGACAGCGGCCGTCATCCAGCGCAGCTCCTGGAGCGAGCAAATGGTAATACTCGTCAAACGGTTCGCCTCCGAAGGTTTTGTCCGGTGGACACAAATATATGGTGACGATGATCCCCACGCCACTGTTCTGCTCTCCAGAGTAAATACAGAGCGGTAACGCTCTTGCTGAATGCTCGGTCGACATAAAAACAATGGCCGCCAACAGATTTCGATTCTGACGCGTGTCACGAGCATACATTTCGCTTCAAACTTTTTTTTTTACGCGCGTCAGTTTCACTCTTGACACGCGAATTAACACAAAGTGGTCAAGCGTCAAACTAGACGCATCAGCCGCGAATTTGACGCGCGATTCGCGTCCGGTGTGAACGCAGCATAAATGTGAGCTCATGAAGGTCTGCCCCCTGTGCTGGCAGCAGCTTATTTGCATTTAAAGGGCACACACTCGAACAGTCCCCAAAAAATGACAATTTAAACATTCTTTAAATTATCTGTTGGGTATTTTGAGCTGAAACTTCACATACACATTCTGGGGACATCAGAGACTTGTACATCTTGTAAAAAAGGGCATAATACGGGACCTTTAAGCACATGCATAAAAATATTTTATGTTTCATTTAGCAAGCATGTAAACACTTTGAAAACTTAGGAAACCAAAAGTTATTTATAAGAGATTACATAAGAGATTCAGTCAAGAATCATTTTGTGCAGACGTAAATAATGTATGTTGGATTGATGTTTTTAAGGAAGTTCATTGAAGCTGTTATATTAAAGTGTTAGTTCACCCAAAAATGAAAATTCTGTCAGTATTTACTCACCCTCATGTTGTTCCAACCCCGTAAGACCTTCGTTCATCTTCGGAACACAAATTAAGATATTTAAGATATTAAGATCGCTCCTGCATACAGTCCATAGGCTTCTTGAGGGACTGGCTCTTGCTGTCCCAGAAAAGTCATTAAAGACATCGTTAAAATAGTCCAAGTGACTACAGGGGCTCAATCTTAAGTTTATCAAATGACGAGAACACTTTTGTGCGCAAAAAAACAACAAAAATAGCGACTTTATTTCAACTATTCACTTCCTTCTCCATGAGCCTGTAAGTCAGTTAACGTAGTGTGATTGCGTAAAGCTACGTCACACGTAGGCTCACTATTGGCCGACGCTGGTCATGTGTGTGTGATGCGTGTGACGTACAATAACAGAAGCTTACGCTATTAAACTAGTAATCTGACTCGCGCAGAGGGAGAAATAAAGAATAGTTGAAATAAAGTCGTTATTTTTGTTGTTTTTTTGCGCACAAAAGTGTTCTCGTCGTTTGATAAACTTAAGATTGAGCCCCTGTAGTCACTTGGACTATTTTAACGATGTCTTTAATGACTTTTCGGAGACAGCAAGAGCCAGTCCCTCAAGAAGCCTATGGACTACTATGCAGGAGCGATCTTAATATCTTAAATATCTTAATTTGTGTTCCGAAGATGAACGAAGGTCTTACGGGGTTGGAACAACATGAGGGTGAGTAAATACTGACAGAATTTTCATTTTTGGGTGAACTAACCCTTTAAGGTACAAATCTTAAGAGATCTAGTGGGTGTTTATGGGTGGGCCTGATATTAGACTACATAGCCTATAATAAAAGATAATGAATTTCAAACCTGAACCAAACATTTGTTTTTCAAAGATCAACAGTCTGTCATTAGTCTTTAGTTTTCCACTAAAAAACGGCGTATTGTGGTTACACCAGTCATGTCAACGAAACGAATAAATGAAAATTTGCTTATTAATGTATATCCAAATTCGTGCCTACATCTTTTTGTGCCTACATCTTTTTAAAAAAAAAAAAAAAAAAGAAAAAGAAACAGAAAATATGCTGCAGCCAATAAGCCGCCGGCGAGGGCCGACTCAACCTCCACGCACAGCTTTTAATATTTTATCAGACAATAACTACTCAAGATCAGTGTTGGGTAAGTTACTCTAAAAAAGTAATTAATTACTAGTTACTAATTACCTCTTCAACAGTGTAATTAGATTACTGTACTACTCTCTCTAAAAAGTATTTAATTACTTTTAAATACTAATTACTTTCAAAATCCCATATCAGCTGAATAATACAAGGATATACAGCTGTTTTAATTCTTTCAAATAAATACTATAAAATTGGATGAATTATCCTTAAACTGACCAAGGTGGAGAAGGTTACATTATAAAAAACATACTTTTATAATAATTACATTTTGACAATACAGACGATACATTTTGATGTTAAACCCACTATTTTTTTGTGTCTGAACTCATGACATTTCACACTTTTTTCTTACATATTTTACAATAATTCATACAAATTTGTACGAGTGCGGGCGTACGATTTAGACACCTCATAAAATGCATACGAATCACTGTGAGATCGGATTGATCTATACACAGTATTTACCTCAATTACATCAGAAGTAACTGTAATTAAATTACAGATAAATGAAGAGTAATCCCTTACTTTACATTTTCAAGGGAAAAGTAATTAAATTACAGTAACTAATTACTTAGTAATTAGTTACACCCAACACTGCTCAAGATTTTGCTTTAGTATAATTTTCGGGACAATTCAGGACAACAGCTTAGATTTCGGGACTATCCCGAAGTTTTCGGGACGTCTGGTCATCCTATGTGGCGGCGTGCGCGCAGTCTCCACTCGGACACGCTTTTCTAGCCATTGCGTTCTCTCTATTCATTCCGATGAAATCACAAAATAAATATATACATACATTTACTTTCTAGTCCATCAACAAGATCGGTCAGCATCACTGTTGCATCCAGTGCTGCTTTTTAGTTCGCGCCAACGAGTGAAAAGCCCTATCGGAAAAACCTGAGTGGGACTCTTGTCCGGTTCCTCACACGGATTCTCTTTTCCTTTTACTAGTCTCTTCTGACCGCGTTTTCTTTCCTTTTTTCCCTTGTCAAGTATGAACGTCTGAAATGGGCGCAAGTGTCTTAATGCTTCATATGTTGTTGTTGATGTGTGTGACATTGTTGCCGTAAAGCAGGGGTGCCCAATCCTGCTCCTGGCGATCGACTGTCCTGCACAGTTCATCTCAAACCCTAATCAAACACACCTGAAGTAGCCAATTAAGGTCTTTAGGATCACATTCAGCTGTGTTTGATTAGGGTTGGAGATGAACTGTGCAGGACAGTCGATCGCCAGGAGCAGGATTGGGCACCCCTGCCGTAAAGCATGTAGTGATTCTCACGAGATTTGTTGGGGGCGCTCCTATCAAACTTGCATTGCTGTTTTTTTCAGCGGAGTCCCCCAAAAGCTTTACCACCAGGATTCACCCTACTATGAGTTTGTTTACCACCGAAATGATTTTGAAGCTGTTATATTAAGGCAGTCATTCCCAAAGGCGGGGTCCCGACCCACACGTGGGTCGCGGGAGATTTTGTCTGGGTCGCCAAGTCGAGCACTATTTTTCAGTGTGTTGTAGGCTACTCTCTAGATCAGGGCTATTCAATTGACGGCCCGCGGGCCAAGTGCGGCCCGCCAATCATCTCCATACGGCCGAGGGCACCCCAACCTCCCTCTCCTCCTATTTTCTGGTGGTGCGGCTAAATTTGGTATATGCGCGTGGCCGCAGTGGCGCGTGCAGCTGGATGACTATACGCACTGTGTGTGTACCATGAGCACTCAGACTGACCTGAGAGAAAAGTTTACAGTCCGAATATTTCAGCAGTTTTTATGTGTGTCCCGTATTTCTGTCGACTGAACCAGCGATATTAATCATTCGTTGGTTTGATTATTTCCTTTCCATGAATTGGCCATTGGCCAAACGCGCGTGCATAACGGTCTGAAACGATTCGGATTTGTTCACCTGAAGCGGTTTCTCGGTAAGTAACAACATATAAAGAACAAAATAGCGCTGGTTTCAGTCGTTTCACTAGTTTACTTTGAACTAGGCAGCACGGCCCAGTGGATAACGGAACGCAAAGCTTAAAGGAGTCGCGTTTACTCCCGGTCCCGGACACTATTATTAAACAACGTTGCGCGACATCCTTTAAGAAGCGTTTCCATCGGACACGTACTCCTCTCTCTTACAAACCACACATCACTCAATGATTTTAACTAGTTTTAAATCGGATGAAACAGCCTTAACATTCCCAACACTACTGATGAGAAAAATAGAAGAAACATGAATAAAGTTAGAACTAAGAAGACTAAATGCCCTAATCACCACCCTTACAAACATTTACCATGTAATAGCCTGAATGTAATAGTTTACCATGGTTTGGGCATAAATGTGGAATATTTATATTGAATGCTATGTTATAGTAATTTATATTTCCTTAGATTTATTAGGGGGGTAGAGGAATATGTATTTAATCGTGTGTATAGTTTTTTTTTTGTTTTGTTTTTTTTTTGCCTGTTTAGGAATTTTTTATGCAGTGGTAGTGAGCCATGCATGGTTACAAAGTCTCACGGTCAGAATATTTTAATTTAAGCCTATAATAATTATTATAGTAAATTATGTACACTGTAACTATGAGAATATGAAAACAATGAGATGCCCTGTCAACTCTTCCTTTCTCATTTCACCTCTGCATATTGTCAACAACAGGTTAATAAAAAAAGTGCTTTGTCAAATATCTGTATCTCTTTTAAATAGTTAACTGGAAGCTTAAAAAATGACCTTAAAAAATGGTCATACATATTTTGTTAATGCATAAATTCTCTTCGTGATATATGAACTATATGGGCCTAATGTTTTTTGGGTCACAAGGATTTATCGACTTTAAAATGTGGGTCCCCAGAAAAAAAGTTTGGGAAACACTGTATTAAGGTACAATTCTTGCATAGTGTGCCTTTAATATCAGTGTTGAAAAAAAGGGATTTTTCTTTTTCTTTCAGCTTGGAAAGATGCAAAGGTCATTCATCTACATAAAAATGCAGCACTGCGTTCTAATGGTCATAGTCAACCAATAAGTTTGTTACCAGTTCTTAGCCAAGGATTGAAAATGAAAGTTTGTGAGCAAATTCAATTATTCTTTAAGGAGAATAATTTGCTCTCTAATTTTCAGCATTTATATTGAGAGAGCACTGATTGATGACAATAACTTTGTAGGAGCAGTATTGTTAGATTTTAGCTCAGCTTTTGATAAATGAATTATTGCTGGATAAACTAAAATGTTACACATTTACCTTTCATACTGTACATCGGTTTTAAAAGTTAACTGTGTAATGGGACAATGTGTTTTTTTTTTTATGGAAGTTATTCAGGTTTGAAAGATTTGCAATGTGGTGTGCCTCAACGAAGTTGTTTAAGACCAATGATCTTCCTCTTGTTTCAAAGTGTGCATGGACAGTCATGTATGCAGATGATAAAACATTATATTTACCTGCAATATGAATTAAGCAGTTGTCTACTGCATTGGTTGAGGAAATACAATTGGTCATAAAGTAGGTATGGAATAATACGTTGGTTCTAAACTTGATAAAAACCAAAAGCATTGTGTTTGCATCAAATTGCATCAAAAGTTGATTTTATCAAAAGTTAAATTTGTCTGTAAAGAGTGTGCCTATTGAACAGGTAGAGGAAATAAGACTTCTTGGAGTAATATTAGATAGTAGGCTGAAGTGGTGTGATGTGATCTGTCTAGAGTTCCCAATGTCCTGTGCTTTTATAGTACTCGTCATAATTTTAACACCAAACATGCATAAAAGCGATAATTTTTATTTTCTGTTTCGAAAACCACTGCAAAACAACGGAATTTTAATTTTGCAATTTTAATATTTGGAATGAATGTTGGGTTAGTATGTTTCATTGACTTTTTATTGTTGTTGATAAAATGTATTTTTGTATTTTTTTTTTTTACTTATTGTGACCCCAGGACGCAAGGAGACTTGTAGTGGCTAATGGGGATCCAAATAAACAAACACATTTAGATCACAGATGGAAAAGACCATTCACAGCCAATACAAGGAAAATGTTTTTTTTTGTTTCTGATCTCCACCACTTCTATTAGATGTCCTCAAAGTGTGCCCATACATATGCGTATCAAATTTGTTGTAAATATCAAATCGTTTTGGAGTTTAGACACTTGTATATATGAGAACATAAAAATGATCCATGGGCGGCATTGATTAAATTGTTTTGTCATTTCCAATAATAATTTTTACTTTTGTTTTGACGTAATTTTGATGTTATTGTTGGCTATTGACCTATGTCTTCAAATTTCCCATGGTGGTTTTGTCTCGATCTGACTGAAAAGTTTAGAAGTTAATCGCAAGTTTTTTTACGTGCTAAATGACACGTTACACAAACCATAAGGCGAAACCTGGCATGTTTGGTATCGCTGGACTCGACAAGGATTCAGGAGTCTAAGAAGTTCACTTTCGTGAAAAAAGGTGGCATGAAACTTTGCAGGGTCCTCCAGGGCATTGTGCTGATTTTTTTTTTTTTAGTTTTTGGACTGAATTTTTTGAGATACGCCAATGTTCTCATTGACTATCATGGTACCCTGGACAAAGACACTGCATTCCAATTTTCAGCGGACTAACAGTAGGGTGCGGTTATATGATTTTGTTTCATGTGACCTCAAATTGAGCTCATAATCATGTGTCCCGACTTTAGCAAAAATATCTTTCTGTTCACAAGTTATAGCCGTTTTAGTAAAATTGGCCCCAGTCACATCGAACATTTGGTTCCCATTAGCGACCATGAATAAAAATGTCAAATTTATTTTTTGATGATTATTGATAGTCACTCTCCAGAGAATATTTCTTCAGTGGTTTGGTTCCAATCAGGCCAAAAACCTAGGAGTATTTCGCAAAACTATAGGTTTTTGGAAAACCCCAAAATACCCCGCAAATTTTCCTAGGGTGACAAGCAAATCCATCTGCTAAATCTTACGGTTCGGTCTGCCCGATCAATTTTAGATAGGGAATGCTGCATCATGAGAAAATGCTTGAACCCCCAAAAATATATGTGTACATTTTATATTAACTGGAAAAAACAGCTTTTGCACGGTGCAAATTAAAATAATAATGTGGTAAGTTGTTTCAAAATCTATATAAAATGTAATTTAATATTTTATTTTTTAATGTACATTATTTTTGAGTACTTTTTGAACACGTTTTGTAATGTCTATAAATATGTTGGTCTGTGTAAAAAAAAAAGAAAAAAGAAAAGAAAAAATAAACTCACTGTTGAAGCAGATGAATGGCATGCCTGATAAGCAGTTCTCATCAGTCCATCGGCCTAAATGGCTGAATGATACTGCAGTACATTGCTGAGAGATATGGTAATAACCATATTGACCATTATCTGGTTGCTGTGGAGAATTTGGAATTGTTGGTCTCCAGTCTTCATATTCAGTAATCTGACCGTTTGACCAAACCCTGTTTCTGTACAGGCCGATCCAGACTCGATTTCCACCTGCTGTCTCAAGGATCCTCTGGTTCTCAGTCTGATTTCTCACATTGGCAAGATCTGTGTAATGATCTCTGCAGTATCTACGAGCCTCTGACCAGATTTTCCAGTCATAGATTAGAACGTAACTCTCTTCGGAATTCACTCTACCTGTGATTTGAAATATACAACACATTTCATAGATGCACAGAAATACTCACAGAAAAAAAAAAAGAAAAAAGAAATGCCCTTACCATCAAAGCAAACGAATGGCAGAATGGTGTCACATGCTATATCATACCATTTCCCAGTATTTTGGATATAAACACACAGCTCGTTCCCCCCTAAGTTGTCTGGTTCATGATACCAGTTCCTGAAATCTCTCTCTCCTTCCTGATAAAAATCATTGTTTTCTAATGACCATCTCCAGCTGTTCACATCATCATACTGTCCAATCCAGGCTGAGCCATTGTAACTCCCATTAACTGTGTTTATCAGACTGTTCATTTCCTCCATGTTATCAATGGTGGCCAGATCAGTGTAATTCTCTCTGCAGTGTCTCTGAGCTTCAGTCCAGGTCTTAGACTCATTCACAAAGTGATACTGGCGTGAAGATGTCAAAGATGACACTGTTGACAAAGTGTCAGATTTACAGCATTCATTTTTTTATTTTTTTATTTTTATTTTTGACAGCCTGACCATTAAGACAGATTTCTACTCACCAGTGTAGCAAAAGAAAGGAAATACATAATTGCAGTTTTCATCTGACCATTTCCCAGAGTCACTGAATGAGACTACAGTGCAGGATCCTGGAGTATCTGGCTGTCCAGTCGTCCAGTTACTGAATGAAGAGTTGCTCTGATCTGACCAAGATCTGGTTTTGTACAGTCCGATCCAAATATTATAATTATAATAATTCCGAAATAAATACTGAATCTTCTGATTTTCAGTTTCATTCCTGATACTGACGAGGTCTGTGTGATGTTCTCTGCAGTAACTCTGAGCCTCAGTCCAGGTTTTGGATTGGTAAATAAAAATATAAGTATCACTGGCGTTTTTTCTTCCTGAAATATATTAATATCATATTAAGTTCAGAGAGAGGTTGGCTTGGTTCTTTTAAACTTTTGTTTACTGTCTTAGACATTCTGTTGACTGCTTACCATCATAGCAGACAGTTGGATACAATGCATTGGAGCAGCTTGTTGCTTGCCATATCCCCATCTGCATATACACACACACACTTTGTCCTCCATAATAGTTTGGTCCTTGGTCATACCAGTTCCTGAAATCTTTCCCTCCTTCCTTGAAGAAATCATTGTCCTCTAGAGTCCATTTCCAACTGTTCAGATCATCATAGAGTCCAATCCAGGCCAAATCAATGGAACCATCATTCACTGTATCCAATAACTGGACCGTCTGTTGTTCATTCTCAATTGAGGCCAGATCAGTGTATTTATCTCTACAGTATCTCTGAGCTTCTGCCCAAGTCTTGGATTCATTCACAAAAACATACTGAGGGATACTAAAGGTGAAGGTGATACCTGTTAAAGACAAGTTTATTTTTCAAATGAGAAAACAAGGACCAAATGGGTCAGTGAACTCTATTCAGCATCCTGACTGTATTCTCTGACAGTGTACTCTAACTGTATTCTAAAAATGTTTAAAAAAAAAAAAAAAAAAACATTACTGCATTATCAGTCACCGGACAAATGCGAAATCATGCTCCTAAAAAATGTCATTTTTTGATTTTGATCATAAAAAGTCTTACCTGATAACAGAAGCAACGGAAACATAGCTGTGGAAACATATTAAGCACATGTAAATCCTGTAATAAATCAAACAATCAAAACATTTAAAACATTAACATTACTTTAATGTTTTAAATGTTGGGACGACAGTTTACCTTTTTATTTGAAGCCTCTTCTTTTCTCTTGCTCCTGATGCTTCTGTTTTAGATTACCTGACTGTCGTAATATTTATAGGGTGTATTAAATATGGGCGGATCACAAGTATGAACTCATGCGACAAAGAAACTTGTTGAGTCACATAGGTGCCATTATAAATGTACTCCATGAGAACCTTCCGCATGTTGTTATATGAAACTAGTGATTAAACAATAGTTGCTCAATCTTTCTGAACTTGTGATTGCAAATGTCTTGGTTGGTATGAGGGCATAATATATCAACACAATCTGTGATGCACTGCAACTAAGCTATGGAAATATATTTTAATATTTGATACAGCAGCACACAGTGTTAACGCATTTCTCATTGTCATTTTTAAACCATAAAGCAAATGTCTAAATACCTAACAACTCAAGACTAAATAATTTATTCCTGCAATTCATGTTTTGATCAAGGCGAAGAACGTGTTAAAAAAGAGCCTATGCCTGAATTCACAGTAAGCCCATTCATCAAACAGTAGAATGGACAACATGCAACATTCACTTGACACTTTGTCAACAATACTTAAAATTTCAGTGCAAAAAAACCCTAAAACAATGTGTTACAAAAACCAAACCCTTGATCCAGAAATGCTGTCCATCCCGCTTAATGGACTGGTTTTATGAAATGCATTGTAAGGTTGTCGGGAAGACCTCACCTTATAAATTCTTTCTGGAGATGAAACGTGATTTTCTTCAACAGCTTATTTTTTTAAAGACACTGCAGTGTTGAGCTCCCTGCTGTCCTGGGAGAGTTAAACCATTATCTGTTTGTGCAACATCACCTTGAGTATTTGGCAGACAATATGACCAAAGAGCTGCTCTGACCACAGTCTGTATGTGCAGACCAATCCACACTTTATTACCATAATACTGTAATTACTATCTGTTGACGTTCACATTTATCACACTACCCCGTCTGATCTCACTCATGGCCCAGATTACTGATGTCATTCCATCTCAGTTCAAATGATTTGATTGTCACAGTATGGAAGAGCTTGAGGCTGATGCGTGTTCAGACTTTGGTGTAGATTAAATGAGACATTAATGATGGCTGGACAGACTTTACATAATGTTTATCCAGTTTAAAACTGTATCAGTATATTTATTGAAAGTTTTTGTTTTACATTTAATAATTTTCTGTGTTTTTAATTATAATAATTATCTTAAGATAAAAAATTTTGTTGTTGTTGTTGTTGTTTTTAGCTTATTTGACATACATTATGAACAGTGTTATATTTCATACATTATGAACAGTGTTATATTTCATACATTATGAACGGTGCTATAGTTCCATCTTTTGCCTGTTTGTTGAAGTCCTGGTTGTGAAAAAACAGTCTGAAAATAGCCATGAACCATGCAAAAGAGTTAGGCTTTTAGGCAACACTAATAAAAGAAAAAGTTTGTCATTATTTTCTTATTTTCTTGGTGTGTGTGTTTTATGTTTGCGCATTTAATAATGAGGAAATAGAAGCTTTAGCGTTAAGTTCTGCCAGGGAGACTCAATTGTTGTGTCACTGATTACCTTCTCATCTATCCAATAGTGTCTAATACTTGCGGTATAAAAGACTGCTACTCACACATGTTTGAGTTCGCAGATGCTGACGCATTCATTTACCTCCATCCTCCCCACCACCTCCAAGATGGTTCCTTCCTCTCCATCTTCCCCACCACCACCAGGATGGTCCCTTCCTATACCTCCCAGGGGGTCGGCTCCGCCCCTGCCTTTGTCTTCAGGTAGGAAATGCAGAGTCTTATTTTACATCTAACCTTATAGGAACATTATTTGAAATGAGAAAACATCCTTAAAACATTCTTTAAACATTACATTCAAATGTTTTCTTTAAATCATTTATAACATAGTGAACATAGTGAACTCTTTACATGATTCGGTTCCGAGTGAAGTAGAGCCCGTGCAGCAGGGCAGATGGGTGACGGTTAGGGATCGCCGCTCTAGTCGTGGATCAAAGAACCGCTCTTCTGTTCCGATTCCCATAATAAATCAATTTGCCCCACTCAGTGAAACACCCACTGAGAATACTGTTGAATGTGCCCTGGTAATTGGTGATTCGATCACACAGAACGTGAAAAAAATAGAGACACCAGCCACCATAGTCACATGTTTGCCAGGAGCCACAGCGCCTGACATCACAGCAAATTTAAAAGTGCTGGCTAACGCTAATTGCAAATTCTCTAAGATCATTATTCATGTCAGCACTAATGATGTTCGACCATTCCACCACCCCGCGGAGATCACCAAAATTAATATCAAAGAGGTGTGTGAACTCACAAGTACGATGTCAGGCACTGTAATTTGCTCTGGCCCCCTTCCTGTTCTCAGGAGTGATGGGCTTATGAGGCTCACCTGAACAGAATATCGCACGTATCCAGTCCGGGAGCAAATGAAGACACCTGAGCGGGTCCACTACTAGCTGGTTGAAGCGAGTACACGAGAGGACACAGGCTCGACTCGGAGATTGTAGAATCTGGCGAATGTGTTGGGTGTCGCCTAGCCTGCAGCTCTGCAGATATCTATTAGCAAGGCGCCATGCGCTAGAGCCCAAGAGGACACTCAGGGTGGTGCGGGCAGTCACACCACGGGGGCATGGTCGACCTTGCTGCTGGTATGCCAAAACAATGGAGTCCATTATCCAGTGAGACAGCCTTTGCTTGGAAAGAGCCTTTCCCTTCAGCTTCCCACCATAACAAAGAGCTGGTCTGAGGTCCTGAAACACCGAGTTCTGTCTACATAGGCGCGGAGAGCACGTACTGGACAGAGGAGTGCCAAGGCTGGGTCTGCCTCCTCCAGGGGCAGCGCTTGCAGGTTCTCCACCTGGTCCCGGAAGGGAGTGGTAGGAACCTTGGGCACATATCCAGGCCGGGGTCTCAGGATAACGTTAGAGTAGGCCGGCCCAAACTCCAGGCATGCTTCGTCAATGGAGAATGCGTGCAGGTCCCCTACCCTCTTGATTGAGGCCAATGCAACCAGAAGCGCTGTCTTCATTGACAGGAAGTTAAGCTCGACTGATTGTAAAGGATACTGGTACTCAGTAAAGCTGTCTGCACTGTGCGTACCAGACAAAATATGGTTTGGGACAGTCCATTCCTACTCTTGGAGAAAAACTTCGGACAGTGGGCGTTTTCTTGGGATGCAAACACGTCTACCTCCACTATGCAGAATGTCTCCCACAGCAGTAGGAACATCTGTGGGTGCAGAGACCATTCTCCTACTGGAACATTGTTTCTGGACAGTCTGCCTGGTCCCAAATTCAGGTGACCAGGCACACGCGGTGCTCTCAATGAGCACAGATTGTGCTGAGCCCAGACCAGGAGGCGTTCCGTCAGTCTGTAAAGGTTTCGGGACCTGAGACCACCCTGGCGATTTATATAGCCCACAACTGACATGTTGTCCGAGCGGACCAAGACATGGTGATTTTTTATCTGGGGACAAAAACGCCTCAGTGCGTTGTCGACTGCCATCATTTCCAGACAGATTATGTGTAGAGGTTTCTTCTGTTCAGCAGACCCAACTGGAGTACTGATGATGTTGAGGCCATGAGACCCAGCATTTTCTGAAACCTTTTTCAAAATGCAGCAGCTCGAGTTCTTACCAGAACAAAGAAGTATGACCATATTAGCCTGGTTCTTTCAACACTGCATTGGCTCTCTATTAAACATTGTATACATTTTAAAATACTGCTGATTAATTACAAAGCACTAAATGGTTTAGCTCCCCAGTACTTGTGCGAGCTCTTAACGCATTATAGTCCATCGCGTCTATTGCAATCTCAAAATTCAGGCCAGTTGATAATACCAAGAATATCAAAATCGACTGTTGACGGTAGATTCTTTTCCTATTTAGCATCAAAATTTTGGGAGAGTCTTCCCAACAAGGTCGGGAAGCAGACACACTCTGTCAGTTCAAATCTAGACTAAAAACACATCTCTTTGACCAAGCATACACATAACACATATTTGACTTCTATAATTCAATGTTAGGATGCATGGATTAGGTCAGCCGGAACCGGGAACACTTCCCATAAATCTTGATACACTTATTGCATCATAAGAAGGATGGCATCTATGCTAATATTAGTCTCTCTGTTTATCCCGAGGTTTACCGCAGTCTGCCGGATCCAGGCCATATCAGGATCTGACGAAGGATCTGAGCCTGGACACGACGTATCAACTAGTCTCTCCCCTGTGAAGGCCTCCTTCCCTTTCCTTTACCTCTGTACAAATAAAACATTGTGGGGATAATTCCGGTTTATATGTGGAAGCAATAAAAAATTCTGTATTAAAAAATTTTAAGGCTTGCACCTTGGATCCTATTTCATGGTTTGCGTTCTAGAGCTACCAGGCACTGTTTTGTGCAAATGAGCGGCTAGATCGCATGAAGGGTTTTCTGTTATAATTGTGTCGTGTTAGTGCCCCCTAAGCTAATAACTAATGATCGTTGCGACAGAAATGAATCAATCAAAACGCACTTTAACAAACGTACTTTAGTTATTTAGACAATAACTTTATTCTAGAGCTGCTGTATTGTTAAAAGCGCTATATAAACGAAGGTGACGACTTTTGTGTGGAGTAACGTTTGTTGAGTTTTTTTCATGTACAGCAGTTTGACCAACTTGTGTTGTTTTTAAATGTGCTTAACAAAAAGTAAATGTTGATTGATTGACTGAAAAGAAGTTGCCAGGATCACTATTTTAATCATGTTTTCATTTAATCATGTTTTCAAAATCATCATCTTCCATAAATCATATTCAGATTAAAATCTCACATTCATGTCAACAATAGTATAATGAGTATATTGTACTGTACTGTGTTATAATTTTCGATCTCTGACTGAAAATCAAGCTACATAGTATATTGTTAGTATTTTATATAACCCCCTTCACTGATTTAATAGGTCCATTAAACAACACATTCCAATGACATAACATTTTGGAAAAACAAAATCTGGATCATTCATTTGTTAAAGTCTTAATAGATTATAGTGTAATTTCATGCTAGATTAAGTATTGAACCCACAACTGCATTTATTGGAAACTGCAAAGGACTGTCCTCCATCTTCAGGGATTGATCATACGATAGTCTCTCAAATGCATGGTCACGTTGTTGGGAAGTCCAAGTCTGATCAGCTCCTCTTGTAACTGAAAATATATGAGCTTTTTGACAAACCTACCATGTGCTGATATGTTATTCAGTCATAATAACATTATTTATTTATTTATTTATTTTTTTTAAGTATTTATTGCACTAAAGGCTATGTGTGGTCAATAAATATATATGTTATAATATGCTTATGTAAAAATCTATTTTCATTCATGGAGGGAAATTAATGGTTTGACAGTTACATACCTGTATAATCACCAGCTCTTCAATCTGAGACTTTGACAAATTTTCTAGACTTGTAACTTCTACTCGCATTCCCATCACTGATCAATAATAATAATAAAAAACAAGTCAGGTGTCATAATTCATACATTTATGTGCTCCAGTTTACAGGGTTTTTTGTTGTTTTATTCGCTTTGGTACAGTAAGGTGATTTTAACAAGTAAGGTCAGGTGTACATTTTTAAAACTCTTAGTGATAATATCAGATCATCAAAGTGCACTTTTTCAAACATTTTAGCATGTTTTCAATTGTATTACTACAATTCTCAAAATCACTAGTATCCTTTTCACAAAACAAAATAACTGTTTGTTCTAAATGTTTCATTCAGCTGCCTTTCATAATGCCATTACTATCAAAAATTTGATTTGCATCTCTTCTTCTTCAGTTTAATATATTTGTCTATTATTTAATCAAACTGATCTTAATGGTTAATCAATAAACCATTTGGCACATCTATAGATACAGATTCTAAAGATATAGTTTCTACTTTTTCCAATTTCTGATACAGATAACTTAATGTAATGAATTCTTTTTACATTACAAGTGATTTTTCTTAGATTATAACCACTATTTTTAAAATGTGTGTGTGTGGTCTGTGTGTCCTGGTAAACTCTACATTATGGGGACAAAATGTCTCTACAAAGATGGCGATATTCCAAATCTTTGTCCTTGTGGGGACATGTACAGTAGGTCCCCATGAGGAAAAGCTTATAAATCATACTAAGTGATGTTTGTTGAAAATGTCAAAATACAGAAAGTATTTTGACAGAGGCTATAACTAGAGAGATTTGTATTATATATACATACATAGAGTATTAAGGAGATTAAACAGGCAATGACTGTGAAGCATCAGATTGATCAAAGATGCATCAGAAGAAGGGAGATCGATGGCATACAATATAGTATATTACAGTATGTATGCCATGTGATACTGTAAACAGATTACGACTGCCACATTACTGTAACTCTTTATCTGTAATGTCAAAAACAGTATACAGTCACATGGCGTATAGTGAAAACATTTAGTGTATTGCCAGCAAACTGTTCCAGCACAAAAGCTCATGGCAGTTTCATAACTTCATCATTGCTTTTGATAACACACTAAATGGATACTATTACAAACATTATGGATTCAATTACATAAGTTATGTAATGTCAAGTCAAGTAATCATTTATATAGCTCCTTTAACAATGTAGATTGTTCCAAAGCGGATTTACAATGAAATGAAATGAAAGTAACAGATTGTTTTGGCTTTATGGCAGCTCTAGAATAAAGTTAATTTCCAGTTAAAGTTAGGTTTGATTGATTCACTTCCGGTGCAATGATCATTAGTTATTAACTTAGGGGCCGCTAACACGACACCATTTTAACAGAAAAATCAAAAAAAATTATTATTATTTTTTTTTTTTGGACTGAAATGTGTATAACTGTTATGAAAGCATGATATCAGGTATTGAAAGAAAGACTAGCTGTGTTACAAGTGTGATCAGTTTGGATTTTTGTAAATGTACACCTTATTTGTGAAAATAGAACCAAAGCGAATAAAAAAACAGCAACTGGGTACTTCATTTCGATAGTCCACTTTAGACATTCTACTGTAGGTAACTTTGCAACTACATGTCAACTAACAGTCTGCTTAATATTTGCTAACACTTTATTTTGTTGGTCCTCCAACATGCATTCTACTGACTATAAGTAATTTGGCAACTACAAGTCAACTTTTGCTCCTAACCTGAACCCTAACACCAAACCCTAATCTCTAACAGTCTACTGACATTCTCCTAATCCTCTTATGAGAGTTAGTTGACATCTTAAAAAGTTACTTAATAGTTAGTAGAATCCCTAAAGCGGACTATTGAAATAGTGTAACCAAAAATGGTAACAATTTAATTATGTTTTAAGATTATTGATAATTAAAGAAACAACTGGATCACATATCTACAAAAACATACCATACTCATCTGAAACGGTGTTGAAATGATGGTCATCAGGGTCACCGAAAAATAAATAGAAAGCTTGCGTTAGCAAAAAGTTAGCATGTTACAAGTTTGATACAATCTTTCTATAGTTTGTATTTTACAGAATCCACATTTGCATCCAGATTTTCTTGTTTTGGGGTGTTATAGCCTGATTCTTTTATTTCTTAATAGAAGTTATTTGCTCACCACTGTAACAGAAGAAAGGCAAATTGGCAAAGCAGCTTTCATCCGTCCACTGACCAGAGTATTTTAGAGACAGAGTTGTGCAGTGTTGAACTCCCTGCAGTCCTGGGATATTTGCACCATTATCTGGTTGTGCAACCTCATTTGGAGTATTTGGCAGCCAATATGTGAAGGAAGAGCTGCTCTGATCTGACCACAGTCTGTTTCTGTGCAGACCAATCCACACATTATAATAATAAACACCATAATAGCGTGTAAAATTCAGTATCTGTTGACGCTCTGTCTCATTTCTCACACTGGCCAGGTCTGTGTATTTTTCTCTGCAGTAGCTCTGAGCTTCAGTCCAGGTCTTCCACATGTATACCAAAACATAATTCTGAGAGGCGTTTTCTCGACCTAGGATAAAAATATACAATTTAAAATCAAGTCAGTTAATTAGTCAACCATATTTTAAATGCATTCAGTTATATCTACAATCCATTAACATTTAGAATTGTAATATTAGTATACATGGGTTTTGATCAGCTCAGTCTCATCCCAAGATGTCATAACTGATGTCTTGGGACGTCTTTTGACCATACATCAATATCCGCCTACACCTTTAAACGTCGGTTAGATGACGTTATCGGATCCTAACTCTACCCCAGACCTAAACCTACCCTGTCACCTAACTAACGTTAAAGGTAAAGCGTCAGTTGTATGACGTCCCAGGATCGTTATATAACCGATGTTTAAGGGTACCCTAAAAAGGGATATTGACGTATGGTCAAAAGACGTCCCAAGACGTCAGTTATATGACTTCTTGGGATGAGACTGTGTTGTTTTGATCCAAGCTTACTAAGCTGAGGTGGTTATAGAGATCTTACCACAAAACTGACAGTAATATTTGTTGAGACTGACCTTAGGCTACTGATTAAGGAAGAAAACTAACAACACATTCTCAACCCAAGGCGTCACCTTTTGACCATGCTTCAATATTAGACGCTTTAGGCGCGATCCTAGGGCGTTACACGCGATCCTAGGGCGTCATCTAACTGACGCTAAAGGGCGCCTAAAAAGTCATACTGTATATTGAAGCATGGTCAAATGCTTCCCAAGGCGTCAGTTAGGTGACGCCTTGGGGTGAGAATGGGCTGAAACTAAATAGGCAACGCATTCTCACCCCAAGGCGTCACCTTTGACCATGCTTCAATATTTGACGTTTTAGGCGCCCTTTAGGCGTCACTTACATGACGCGATCCTACGGCGTCATTTAACTGACGCTAAAGGAAAGCGTCAGTTAGAGGACGCGGTTAGGTTTAGGTGTGGGGTGGGGGTAGGGTGCACGCGATCCTAGGGCGTCATCTAACTGACGCTAAAGGGCGCCTAAAGCGTCAGATATTGAAGCATGTCCAAATGCTTCCCAAGGCGTCAGTTAAGTGATGCCTTGGGGGTGAGAATGGGCTGAAATAGGTATAACCTATGTATGTACAGCCCATTCTAGGTATAACCTATGTATGTACAGCCCAAGGCAGTCAGTTAAGTGACGCCTTGGGGGTGAGAATGGGCTGTACCATCATAGCAAACAAATGTGTACGAATACACATAATAGACGCACAGAAATACTCACAGACAAGAAAAGAAAAAGTCCTTACCATCATAGCAAATGAATGGCAGAGTGTTGTCACATGATGTATCATACCAGTTTCCATTAGAATCCATGTAAACACACAGTTCATTCCCACCACTGTTGTCTGGTTCATGATAGAAGTTTCTGTAATCTCTCTCTCCTTCCTGATAAAAATCATTGTTTTCCAATGACCATCTCCAGCTGTTCACATCATCATACAGTCCAATCCAGGCTGAGCCATTGTAACTCCCATTAACAGTGTTTATCAGACTGTTCATTTCTTCCATGTTATCAATGGTGGCCAGATCAGTGTAATTCTCTCTGCAGTGTCTCTGAGCTTCAGCCCAGGTCTTAGACTCATTCACAAAGTAATACTCCCGGGATGATGCTAATGCTGGAAAGGTAGGAAATTGTAACAATACAAAACCAAAAAAAATAGTCAAACATTTAGAAATCATGTGTCCCTTTGTTTTTTGATATTCTAATTATTATACTTTTTCTAATTTGTTACATTGTTCAAAAAATTAAAGGTTGTCATTATTATTAGCTCCTCACCACTGTAGCAAATGAAAGGTAATGCAATATTGCAGTTTTCATCTGTCCAGCTCCCAGAGTCACTAAATGACACTGCAGTGCAGTATTCACTGGTTCCAGCATTATCTGGCTGCCATATCGCCCAGTTACTGAATGAAGAGTTGCTCTGATCTGACCAAGATCTGGTTCTGTACAATCCAATCCAAATTTGGTAATAATTTGAAAGTAATGACCGAACCCTGTAGTTTTCAGACTCATTCCTGATACTGACAAGGTCTGTGTGATGTTCTCTGCAGTAACTCTGAGCTTCAGTCCAGGTTTTGGACTCGTAAACAAACACGTAATTTGCAGTAGCATTCACTCTTCCTGTGGGGAAACATTTTAAAATGTGACGTGATCATGGAATCATCAATATTTTGTTTTAATTACTTGTTATAAAGTCAATCAGCAGTTCTCACCATCATAGCAAACAAAGGGAAGTCTATAGGAGCAAAAGCCTTCACCCCATCTTCCCCAATAATATGACATGTACACACACAGACTCTGTCCACCTGAGTTCACTGGTTGCTGGACATACCAGCTTTTAAATCCTCCCAATAATGTTGCATTGTCCATAGACCATTTCCAGCTGTTCAGATCATCATAGAGACCAATCCAAGCTGAACCATAGTAAGTTCTACGCACTGTTTTAATGAGCCTGTTCATTTCCTCCATGTTATCAATGGTGGCCAGATCAATGTAATTCTCTCTGCAGTGTCTCTGAGCTTCAGTCCAGGTCTTAGACTCATTCACAAAATGATACTGGTGAGTGCATGAAGATTGTGTACAGGTCTCTGTGAATTGTTTTACAGCACAGGAAAAAAAAAAAGAAATGCAATGTACATGTAAGTCTCACTTACTGCTTGTCAATAGATAACAATACAGCTGCTTTTGATTAAAAAAAATAGAAATTTTACTAATGAATTCATTAGTTTAAAAAGTAGCACGGTGAACCGCTTTAAGAAGCACACTGAATGAAATAAAAACACAAGCACTACAACTGACTTCCAATCACAGCCTTAGATGAAATCAAGTGAATATAAAGGAAGACATTAAATATTTCAAGATCTCAGTAGAGGAGAATTAAACAACTCCACAAACTCATTTCCAGGTTCACTTATTGCTAGGAGTGCATTTCCCAAACAACGATGTAGCTTAATAAATCACTACCATAGTACGATGCACCGTTAAAGAAATCAACTAGCTAGTCACGACTGTTTTCCGAAACCATACTGTCACAAAATGGTCATACAAATACATTGGTTTATGATGTCACGCACGTGGTAAAGTAATAACTTATTTTAATGAAACTGTTTGAGATTGAATTAATGCTAGATGTTTTGATATAACTGTATCAAAACATCTAGCAGACATGGCATCTGAGGAATATTCCGTTTTATTTTCAGATATTGAATAAAAGACACAGGTTGTACTGAATGTCAACTTGCTTATTTTGCTCAAGATCAGGATTTATTATCATAGTTTGATCACATTCTTGAGCTCGAGCTGCTTAGCTCTGATTTGACTCCCTCTTCAGCGCTACATGTTCAGACTGATTGAACTCAGAGAGAGTGAACAAGTTCCTCAAGCTTTGTTGTACCTTCTTTCAAAGCCCTACAGGCAGATACTCACTGGAGAAGGTGACCCATGAGATTGCATTGGTTCTTTTCATTCTCCATTTAATAGAAGTGACTGGATGAGAAAGACTTTAGTAATATCACTCTCCATTTCTCACGTCTCCCACTTTGGAGTATACAGTGCAGTGCATGGATTACGGGAAGCCCTGTTCCAAATGGCATACTTAACCCTCTGGGGTCAAAGGTGTTTTTTTGGGGTCCTTGAGATGTTTTGACATGCCCTGACATTTGTGCTTTTTTCAATTGCTTATAAACATATTAATGGCACAGGTGAAATTACACTCTTTTTATCACAAACGGGGCTACCATAATATATAAGCAAAATGTATGTACATCTTTTTATTTTTGAGAGAATATTGTTTATGCATGGATATTGAAAAAAACTAAAAATGAAAGTTTCTGAAATAAGGCCACAAAACACATAGTAATGTGTCCACAAGACTTAAGACTAAAGAATGTTGTCGCCTAGAGTTTTTGCTTCAAAATTATCTGAAAATCATCCTGCCTAATCATTCACATAAAACAATAGATTGTTTTAAATTGTGAAAAACACAATTCATTTTTTTGTTTGGAAAGAAAATATGCGTGGGGTGTGAACAGCCTAACCCCCTCATGAACAATTAGGTGGTTATCACCCGAGAAGACAAAGACCCGCATAATAATGATACATATTTACTACATATGTGTACGTATATATATATATATATATATATATATATATATATATATATATATTAGGGCTGTGCAAAAGTTAATTGTGATTAATCGCATCCAAAATAAAAGTCTGTGTTTACATATATATTTGTGTGTGCTGTATATAATTATTTTGTATATATAAATACACACACATGCATGTATATGTTTAATATGTTTAAGAAAATGTGTTATTCCTATATAAAATATTTATATTTATATAATATAGATTATGTATTTATATATATATACAGAATTTAAGAGCAAATAATTCTTAAATATATGCATGCATGCATAGGTATTTATATATACAAAATAATTATATACAGCACACACAAATATATTATGTAAAACAGACTTTTATTTTGGATGCGATTAATCGCAATTAACTTTTGCACAGCCCTAATATATATATATATATATATATATAAATGAAAGTCAAAAGCAAATTTTTTAGTCATACCTGGAAACAAATCCTGTTCAAATTGGTCATACGGGCCACTCTATAGAATTGGTTCAAAGTTAGAGTTGGAAACTTTGATGTTTAATTTATTGTAAAAACTTTATAATCTATCCAAAACTATTTTTAAATTTAATTTCTTTAAATAAATTTCTTTAAATAAATAAAAATTTTATTTATCAAATTACAGACACTATTCTATATCGCGATTAGAACAAATCTCAGTTGGCTAAAGCGATAAACTGACTTAAAAAGTCATTGTTCAAACTAAAGCAAACACAAATATTTTCAATAAAATATTAAAATCTAAATAAAGACGGGTATAAAGCCAATTCTCAAAAAGAAAAGGTTGATGAATTACAGAAATAAAGTCGTCTGGTTTATAATAAGAGAGATTTAAAGTCTTTTCAATTGATTTCATCAAAGGCGGTGACTGGGAGTTAGTTGTAGTTCTTGTGTTTCTCTTTCCTTCAGTGAATTTGCTTGTTATCATCAGGTGTCTTCAATGGTAGCAATAAAAAAAAAAAAAAAGAGTTCTCGATTCATCTTTAATGTTTGTTTGTTAGTCAGATATTTTTGTTTTGTATTTTTGTGTGCTATATTTGCATTTACTTGTTTTAAATTGTTAAATTTTAAGGAATTAATTTGATTAATTCTGACTCAATTCTTTCTTTTTAAATTTAATGAATAATATTTGATATGTATTGAATATGAACATATTGAATATGTAATATGTTGCCACAATTTTTGTGAGAATATAGTGTTTTCTTTTTTTTCTTTTTTTTTACAGAGCTGAATTAAATATTACAGCTAAACTTACAGCTAAACTAATTATTTTTCTGCCGAGATGCAAATAAAAAAAGAAATATATATCTATATAGATTTCAAAATAGATTATTTAAAAAAAATAAATAAAGTTAGGTTAGGTAATTTTGTATGAGCAACTTCTCTGCTACTTCAAATCTCTGCTTGGACCCCCAACTTTTTCTCTATTTGTTGTATTTGGTGATGTTTTGTTGTATACATTTTTAATTATTATTATTAATAATAATAATAAAATGTTAAGGGTTTTCAGAGATTTCAACAATAAGTTTCACAATATAATTTGAATCCACATATTTATAGGCCCAGTGCCTTTAGGCTAATTTAAAAATGTTGATCTTTCATTGGAGAATTGGTGCTTAAAGTCTTAAATAAATGAAATTAAAATAAAGATCAAAGTGAGTGAACTTACTGCTGTAGCAGAAGAAAGGCCTGCTGGAATCACAGACCTCATCTGTCCATCGGCCTGAATACTGGAATGATACTGCAGTGCAGTGCTGATATCCATATTCATATGCTTGATTATTTCCATTATCTGGTTGTGCCTGTGACCCAGAAATTTGTGGCCTCCAGTTATGATAACTTGTAATCTGATTGTTTGACCAAACCCTGTTTCTGTACAGGCCAATCCAGACTCCTCCACCTGCGGTCTCAAGGATCCTCTGGTTCTCAGTCTGATTTCTCACATTGGCGAGATCTGTGTAATGATCTCTGCAGTATCTACGGGCCTCTAACCAGATTTTCCTGTCATAGATTCCAATGTAACTCTGTGTGGCATTCACTCTACCTGTGATTTGAAATACGACACATAATAGACGCACAGAAATACTCACAGACAAGAAAATAAAAGGTCCTTACCATCATAGCAAACGAATGGCAGAGTGTTGTCACATGATATATCATACCATTTCCCATCATAAGTCATGTAAACACACAGCTCGTTCCCCCCAAAGTTGTCTGGTTCATGATACCAGTTCCTGAAATCTCTCTCTCCTTCCTGATAAAAATCATTGTTTTCCAATGACCATCTCCAGCTGTTCACATCATCATACTGTCCAATCCAGGCTGAGCCATTGTAACTCCCATTAACTGTGTTTATCAGACTGTTCATTTCCTCCATGTTATCAATGGTGGCCAGATCAGTGTAATTCTCTCTGCAGTGTCTCTGAGCTTCAGTCCAGGTCTTAGACTCATTCACAAAGTAATACTCCCGGGATGATGCTAAAGCTGTAAATACAGTAAACAAATGTTTCTAAAATAAAGTTTTTTAAAATGTAATATTTGAGATAAATTCAATATGGTCATTTTTTTCCATTCCATACAGCTTTTATGGTCATAAATTATATGATCAGCATTAAAATTTGAGTGAAAAAATTAATTGAAAAATTAACTTTAATTTTAGAATATCTAGTATTCCCCTAACACCCTGTTTTCACCTGGCTACTACCTTAATGTAAATAGTTATTTCTTATTACTTCTCATAAGCAATATAAGCAAGCATAACGTTACTACATCACAGAAAGTGCTGGGAATATCTAATCTTGTTTTATTTCAGACCTTAAAGGTGTTATATGTAACTTTTCTTCTAAAATGAATCCTTTTTTATTGCCTGTGTGTGAAGGGGTTGTAAACACACATTACAATGATCCACTTGTCGGGTTTTGGTATTACCTCTGAAGGCCAGTATTCCTATTTTTATGTGAAATCTCCGCAGTCAATGGAATGTTATCATGGTACGAGCGTGGAGCATTAGTTCAACGTCAAGCTGATAAAAGTAGCCTATAACGTTGCAGTGGGAGTTTACATGAGTTTCCTGCATGTTGTGTGATGCTTTCTCCGGTTTGTTGGAAGTCTCAGTGTGGCCGGTAGTGATCAAGTGCTCGCGAGCACGCACGAGTGCACGAGCGCTGTTGTTACAATCTGAAACATCACCGCTAGAGGCCGCTAAAAACTACATAAAGCACCTTTAATAAACACATCGAACTTACAAAACATTGATGAGTCAAACAAGTTCTGTAGCTTTACAAAATGAATATATGCAACAACTTATGTAAAACACAACATTTTTCTATGATATGTTACTTTTTTGCAACGAAAATGCTGGATTGCTGGAAATGCTGGAAATGAGGATTATGAAAACATACAAGCCCCCCATATTTTTGCGCGTAATTCTGCAATTTATGCAGGCGAAAGTGTGGCGTATTTGAAAAAAAAAAAGCAGACTTTGGCAGAATAACGTTATGCACTAAACCGCATAATTGTGTTTTTCTGGAGGGAAGGGATAGTTCACCTAAAAAAAAAAGAAAAAAAAAAAAAAGAAAAGAAAAGAAAAATCTGTCATGATGTACCCATCACATTCATTCTCATGTGGAAGATGAAAGAAGATGGTACACTTATACTTACATAAGAAAGTACTGGGTTAAGTTAATGGGTTGGGGTAGGTTCATACCTACCCAGTTATAGTTATAGTACACTCTAAAAAATGCTGGGTTGTTTTAACCCAATTTTGGGTCAAATATGGACAAACCCGAAATGTTGGGTTAAAAATGTAATGTAAAAATTTAACCCAATGGCTGGGTTAGTCCATATTTGACCCAAAGTTGGGTTAAAACAACCCAGCATTTTTTAGAGTGTAGTTGTAAGTTGATAGTATGTACATGCAGGAATGTAAAATAAAGTGCTACACTCTAAAAAAATAATAATGCTGGGTTGTTTTAACTCAATTTTGGGTCAAATATGGACAAACCCAAACGTTGGATTAAAAATGCAATTTAAAAATGTAACCCAACGGCTGGGTTAGTCCATATTTGACCCAAAGTTGGGTAAAACCAACCCAGCATTTTTTTAGAGTGTATCTTTTTTGGTAACACTTTATTTTGATAGTCCACTTTAGACATTCAACTAACTAAAAGGAACTTTGCCGCTACATGTCAACTAACTATCATTAGAGTATCAGTAGACTGTCTGCTTAATATCTGCTAACACTTTATTTTGTTCGTCCCCCAACAGATATTCTACTGACTATAAGTAACTTACCAACTACAAGTCAACTTGTTCTCCTAACCTGAACCCTAACACCTAACCCTAACCTAACAGTCTATTGACAGTCTACTACAGCCTACTAATACAGTTAGTTGACATGTAGTTGAAAAGTTACTTATAGTTAGTAGAATGTCTAAAGTGACTATCGAAATAAAGTGTAACCTCTTTTTTTCTTTCTTTTTTCTTTTTTTTTTAAGTAATTGGGCACTAAAAATATTTTCATTTGTCTTGAGCAGAATAAAGAAATGCATACAGTCTAGAATGACATGAGGGGGAGTGAATGATGACAGATTATTCATTTTTAGGAGAATTGTCCCTTTAAGATCTACTCACCAGTGTAGCAAATGAAAGGAAATACATAATTGCAGTTTTCATCTGTCCATTTCCCAGAGTCACTGAATGAGACTACAGTGCAGGATCCTGGAGTATCTGGCTGTCCTGTTGTCCAGTTACTGAATGAAGAGTTGCTCTGATCTGACCAAGATCTGGTTCTGTACAGTCCAATCCAAATGGAGTAATAATAATAATTCCAAAATAAATACTGGATCTTCTGGTTTTCAGGCTCATTCCTGATACTGATGAGGTCTGTGTGATGTTCTCTGCAGTAACTCTGAGCCTCAGTCCAGGTTTTGTATTGGTAAATAAAAACATAAGTATCACTGGCGTTTTTTCTTCCTGAAATATATTAATATCATATTAAGTTCAGAGAGAGGTTGGTTTGGTTTAAACTTTTGTTTGCTTTCTTAGACATTCTGTTGACTGTGCTTACCATCATAGCAGACAGTTGGATAGAATGCATTGGAGCAGCTTGTTGCTTGCCATATCCCCATCTGCATATACACACACACACTTTGTCCTCCATAATAGTTTGGTCCTTGGTCATACCAGTTCCTGAAGTCTTTCCCTCCTTCCTTGAAGAAATCATTGTCCTCTAGAGTCCAATTCCAACTGTTCAGATCATCATAGAGTCCAATCCAGGCCAAATCAATGGAATCATCATTCACTGTATCCAATAACTGGATCGTCTGTTGTTCATTCTCAATGGAGGCCAGATCAGTGTATTTATCTCTACAGTATCTCTGAGCTTCTGCCCAAGTCTTGGATTCATTCACAAAGACATACTGAGGGACACACTGCATGAGGGCAAAGAAACCTGTTGAAAACACAAAAGGGAAGTTGAAATCACATGATCCTATACAGTTAGGCTATCTCCCTGTTTAGACAATGTCAGATTCATAATGGGTGAGTGCAGAAAGTCAATTTAATAATTTTTCATAATTTATTTATCTATAATAAAGTAAACATTATACTGATAGGTGTCCAAAATGTTCTGTACTTAAAAAAAAAAACAGACATACGCTTAGTTACTGACTCTCAAAATGCCCTGTACATAAAAAAAAAAAAAAAAACACGTGAAAGGCAAAGCATCTTATCAATGCATCAAGATGAGGCCAAACCTTTTTTTTTTTGTCTTTATCTTTTGTGTTTTGTCTATAAATCTTAGATCACACATTTGCCTTATCTTATTTCATTCAATTATAATACATGACAGCATGCCAGCCATCACATGAAATACACATTTTTTCTTCTATTTAATATGTCTTTTAGTTCATATGTGTTATCTTTCATGGCATTTGTGTGCTAATGCACTGCCAAAGTTGATCAAATTAACTTTATACACATTTAAAGAAAATATATACAGTATGCCTCGCTCACCCAAACTAAGGTGTGTTGGATGAAAATACAATACAGACTGTAAATAGATATAAACTATAAATCCCACATACTTCAAGTTTGCATTAACACAAACATATTTTAATGAGCAAAGTTCCAGTCAATCCACATTCCTCAGCCTGAGGAATAACGAAAATTGCATTACTGTCATAGTTGGGTGAAATAAAATTTAGTGCATGGAACTAATCACAAGCAGTTAATATGTTTATTTACAATGAACTCAAGAACTAAGAACATGAACAGAATGATCAATGTAAATGCGAGAAGAACTGACAATGAACAGAAGGAAACACAAAGTTTAAATACACTGAACAAACCAATGAACTAAATAAACATCATGTCCGAACAATAATCAAACAATGAGTAACCAGGAAAATGTGGAAAATGAACAAAGAAAACAGTAAACAACTCATAGTAAAACCCTGAAAATTACAGATAATTTCACTCACCTTGAATAATAATAATAATAATGTTGATAAACAAATCCTCCTGTCCTTTTAAATGTCTGTCTGTATTTAATGAAGATGATTGATGCATGTACAACCAGCGCCGGCCCGAGCCTTTTGGGGGCCCTAAGCAGAATTTGATTTGGGGGCCCCTCCCACGACGCGGAGTCACCTGTGTTTGACGATTATTGACATAAATGTCACGCAAAAATGATACATTATAAATGAATACACTGAGGTTATGTATTAATAAAAAAATAGATGCCTACTTAAATAAAAAAGTTTGAAAACAGTCTTAAAACTGTCTCAAAACATATACAATAAATTATTTGCTAAAATTATGACAAAACTGAGAAATTAGAAACGTAAGAGCAATGATACTTTGGCCTATCCTCCTGGGACCCAGGAATAGACTTTTGTCCACTGTAGTGGACATTATTTTTAGTGTATTTCTCTGACACCATGCATGTCACATTTTTTTTCTGGATGTCCTGTAAAGAGCACATTCAGGGCAATACAGAGATAGCAAATGTTTGGAGGTTTCACCATGAAAACAACTTCTCCTTGGTCTTTAAAAATGTCTAACATTAATTTAGTGATCAAATGTATAGCACTCTTATTGAAATATGGTAATATATTGTAATTATAATTTAAATCTAACTACTTTTCAAATTGTATTTCATCAACCAACATCTCATGAAAATGTTATGGGGTTTCAAATAAAAAAAAAAATGACTTTCCGTTACAGGGCATTGATTTCATTCATGTCCACTGTAGAGAACATCAGGACATAAATCATGTTTATCAGGCATTCGGGGAGACATAACAAGTGAATATGTAAATAAATTATACGTCAATATTCTTATGACATATTAGATATTATTATTAAAATGTTGCTTATTATTACGCCAATGCTTACACTTCTTTCCTCATTAAATGTTGCTCCAAGAACACATTAATGTGCAAATTAGATACAGTGTATAGATACTTTGCATTGAATGGGAATATTAATTTATGCCAATTTTACCCATATATTGCATAAAGTAAATTGGTGTATCAATTAATTCCATTATATCTTTCATAACATAGTTGATAATCATCTTTATACAAATTTTAGTTCAAAAAAATCCTGAAACCCCAAAATGTATTGGTGATTGGAAAAAAAATCCCATTGTTTTTGCCTACACATTGTATGTCATTTAATTTTAACAACTGAGTCCTGGTGTCCACTACAGAGGACAAAGTATTACATATGAATAAAATATAATTTTTCAAAAAGTTTTTTTTTTTTTTACCATTTGTTTATTATGCTCTAAACAATGTGATGACATGAAAAAAAACTAAATTAAAAAAAAAACTTTCTGGGTCTCAGGAGGCTATTGTTGAAAACTAAAAATATTACTAGCCTATTTCTCAACTGTCTCAATACAGAGTAACTATCCTCAAAATCTTTATTATTGTTATTATTATTATTATTGTAACAGACTTTGTTATATAGTTCATGACATAATCAACACAGTCTGTTACTATAATACCGGTTATGATGTTCTGGCGCTCGTTGTATGTGTGTATGCAATGTATTTTTCCCCTCGGGGCTTGCCGTAGATGGGTCGTGCGCACTTGCTAGGCTACTGGAGTGTCGCGGGTGTTTGGAGATCTGATGTGTGGTATAATAAAGAGGAGAAGAGTTCAAACTGCTATGTTTATTATTTATTCACACTGCTACCCTTACACCGAAGGATAAGTTCTCCTGCGGGCTATTTTCTCCAACTTAAACCGATACCGTGACTAGGCGCAGTTGCGCACGAATTGTCTATGCACGCGCGAGGTGTCTAGAAGATTATGCGTATGACTTAAACGCTGGCAGACAGAGCAGCAGTTGTAACTTGTAGGCAGGTATATTGACCATTAAATCAGAATTTTGTTGTCTTGAACTATTCATTCAGTCATATTCATTCATTCATTGATTTATGTCACTTGTTTAAGTCATCTAAAAAAATAAAAATAAAAAATAACCTCGATTAGGGGGCCCCCTGGTGGCCAGGGGGCCCCAAGCAGCCGCTTAGTTCGCTTATGCCTCGGGCCGGCCCTGTGTACAACTAATGGCGCTTTTCCACTGCATGGTACGGCACGGCACGGTTTGCTATGGCACGCTCGAATGGTAGGCTATCTTGATACATTTCTTGGTGAAAAAATATTCAATATCTCTATATAGGTGTTTGCAAGATCAGCGAGAACAGTTCAAACTTACCTACTACCTCCTTTCACCAACTAGCAAATTACCAATCATGTTCATGACTGTAACATACTGTAACTAAAGCCTATGAGTTTTTTGTTTTTTCATGGATTTTTTTTATGTCCAGATTTAACTTTGTTTTTCAATAGAAAATGTATCAATGAAAAAGCAATGATCACACTGTAATTGTTTACATAGTTTTTCAAGCATCAATGCATGCCAAGACCTTGAACAACAATATTCATCTTAAAATGGTTTGTTCAGACGACTTAATGGGCTTTATGCACAGTTGCACTACTTCTTTGACTTCAGCCAGCTCCTTGTTTCCTGTCTGCCATTATTGGGCAAAATTGATTAATTCAGGTGTGTCTGATTATTGTTGCCGTGACTACTGAGGTCAAGCAAACCTGAATTAATCAATGTGTCCAATAATGGCAGACAGGAAACAAGGAGCTGGCTGAAATTCAGGAAGTAGTGAAGCTGTGCATAAAGCCAATTTAGAAAGTTAGGTAAAAAAAAAAAATAAATAAATAAAAAAAAAAAAATTAAATAATAAAAAAATTAAATAAATAAATAAATTAAATTAAATTAAATTAAATTAAAAAATTGAATTGACTGGCTCATCCTACAAAATAAATAAATAAACACTTCAAGCAACATTTTTAATAATTTGTTTGAAGGTTTTTTTTTTGTTTGTTTGTTTTTTTTTTCACTGAATATAACTTCGGCCCACATAGCACGGTGGAGTCCAAATATCTGGAAAGCAAAATCTAAATATTTAAACAAAGACGATTATCACATGAAATGAGGAAAAGGTAAGCTTCTGCAGTATTTTTAGATCAGTAATCAAATAAGCAGATTTATGACATAAGTATGTAAAATTCTTTGTCCAAAAATGTTCCATACCTGAGAATAGTACCAGTGAAAGCATGGCTGTGGAGAAAAAATGTGCATGTTTTTTTGAAAAAGAACTTTTAATTTATTAAAAAAGTAATTAAGTGCCAGTTTTGTCAAATATTTAGTTTACCGGTAGGATCTCAAGACTTCAAGTCCCGTGTCTTGCTCGCCAGTTTCTGTTTGGTTGTATTGCAGCTCTCTATATCAGAAGGTGGGTGTGACTTTCTTTTAAATCACAAAACCAGGTGGACTAGCTACCAGTATGGTTTTGTTTAACAGATATTTCCAAAATATAGATGTTTAAACAGATATTTCCAAAGATATAGAACCACTGGTTTGTGCGCCTTCTTTTATTTCCTTTATAATTATTATTATTATTATTATTATCTGTAAACAGTTCTGTCAAAAAATAATTTCAAATCCACCTCATTATTGATTTTATGGAGTTCAACCATCTAACACTCTCTCAACAGGTATGTCCTTCTAAAATGTCTATAAATATTAACTTTTCAATTGTCACTGGTTTGCTTAATTATATCTAAATATGAATTTAAATATCAGTCTGTGTCATGGATATCTAATAAAAAATATGACATATGATGGCTGAAAATTGGACTAATGTGTCAGAATGTGTCCTGTGTTCTTTAACTTATAGTGGCAAAATGTATCTTCCCTGCATTCTCTACTAAAACGACCAGCAATTAAAGAGTTTTTGTCATGAAATCATCATTACTATTTAAAATATCTGGAACATTAAGAATAATGAAGCTTTTCTTTTGCATTCCGTTTACATGGAGCATTCTGTTGAACAAAATATTGCGGTCATACCCGCCACTTTTCTTTGCATTTGTTTTCGCAGATATTTTCTGACTGTCTATATAAATGGTGATTGTGCTGTATAGTGATACATGTAACATTATTATGTGGCTAATTTTTTTTTTTTATAGAAAGCAGCCATCTGTATTTACATAATGCAGAACCAGACAAACAAGTTACTGGTCTAAAAAAAAATATGTGTGTTCACATTTTACTGGCTAAACAAGTGAGGAGCCCCAGAAAAAAACTTTGATTATCTCTGTTCATAATAAAAAGCTGCATGACATTTCGCTCCTCAATCTGAATCTTCAAGACAAATCAAATGTGCATATCCGGGTAACACTGGCTACCAAATAAAGAGTTAAAAGTTAAAAAAGGAAAGAAAAAAAGAGTGTTCTAGATGGAAAAGAGATTTACCCAATCACACATTGTGCTGCAGTGACTGACCCCATATGTGAGCCAACATAGACTGAATGAGAATAAATGGAGCGGTTCTCAGAGTAAAGCGATGTGAATCAGGTGTGCCATTTCAGGTTTAAAACAAAAATATGGCTTGTCAGGGGGACCCTGCAGCAGGAGAGGTTGAGAACCCCTGTATGTGAATGTGATCTCTTGCGAGAGTTTGTGCTTTGTGCCAAATATAATCTGAGAGGAATCGTCTGATTAAACGACACGATTAAGCACAAATATGATGCTCACGGAACTGTTTCCACTTTGAACTGTTTTAACTGCTACAAAACAAGTTGAGCTTCTGACGGCTTGTGCAGTTTCAGTTGTCACATCTGACAAATCTGACATCTCAAATATAAGCATTCAAGCAATGGTAACAATGCAAATTATGCATTTGGACTCATACTTTTATGAATCATTACGTGTAGCCTTCGCTCCTATGTACAGGACAACTATTTGTGAGGTGTTAATTGTCAGAGATGTCTGAAGTTTACTTACAAAATAAATGGTGAAATATCTTAGCTGATGCTCTGAGATAATAAATGTGTCATCAATCTTACTAGCACACATTTTTTTGTCGTTTTATTTTATTATTTCCTTTATTAAGGCATTAAAACGTGTTCACAAATGTCATTTTTATTGAAATGTAGATACCATTATTTACAAAAATCATGATGTTAAAGGAACGTTTAACTGCTGCAAAACAAGTTGAGCTACTAACGACTTGTGGCAGTTTCAATTTTCACAGATATTTGATAAATCTGACACAAGTCAAGCAACCGTAACAATGCAAATGTTGCATTTGGAAGGTTTAAAAACACAAATGTGGAGGTTATATTTTTATTAAAGGTTTCCAATTATTTGATTTCTCCATTGTTTATTTGATTTGTGGAAATTATCCTTTTAGCAGCATGACTGCACCTCTCATTGGAATTTATAGGAACATGACTATTAACTTGGCCTGAATAAAATCAGCCGTCTACAAAAACATGTAAAGTATCACCATTATGGACTCTTATTTTTGATATTCTGTTTTCTTTCCCTAAATTCATAGCTATTCCTAATCTGGTTAGTTAGGTTTCCTTCATTTCTGAGTATGTCCTTGTTTGTTCCTATTATCTGCACATGCCTGTCAAGTTTGCCTTGTATTTGCTCCCTGTTATGTTCACTTCTTTGTCAGCCCTCGTATATGTTTAATGGTTTGTGTTTTATCCTAGTATTTCCTGTGTTCCTGAGTGTTGTAAGCCCGTCTATTGGTCCAATGGTGGTTTCTCAAAAAGGACGGGCAAAGGTTTCGCCTTCAATTTCACTTTAACGTTGACATTTTCGTCTTGACTGAGAATAATATCCATCTTTCCTATTTTAAAGCATACTAAAAATGTTAAAATATTATAAACTACCCACATATCACATACAAATGTCTTTGCAAACTAAAACGGCAGAACTGCATTAGGTTTAACGAAACTCAATGTAACGAATCTGCAACTCTGAAACGTAATGTTCTTCAACACGCCATATTTGTTTCAGCAGTGTGTTGATATGTGTTGGAGCAATTGCTAGCTAGCATATATTATCCCACTTCTCTCACCTTTAAAGAAATGGTAATACATTTCTAAAAGTCTATCGCTCATTTTGCGTGTCTAGTGGATATTATCTGGAATGTACAGGCGCGGGGGAAGCAAGAAGGATCATAATAAAGCGGCTAAGGAGCAGAGCGACAGTAGCAAGTATGCGGAGCTGCTGGTGTTCGGCTACGCCTGTAAGCTGTTCCGGGACGATGAGAGGGCCAGCTACCACGAGCAGGGCAAACACCTCATCCCATGGATGGGGGACAAGAACATCATGATCGATAGGTCGGTTAAACAAACCTAACGGGAATAATTACTTAACCAACTTAATGTCTTCCAAAGGGACCTTGGATGTATTGTTGTTTTGCAGTACAGGAGGAGCTGATGGCATTGTGTGATGTTTACATGGCCAAACGTGAATAAAAGGAACTTGACAATGACAGATCTAAGATAACTTGCTTGGATTGTGATTCTTTTTTAAGCTCAATGCAATGACATAACTGTCAGATGGATTCAACAAGAACTTTAAACCGGCCTAAGATGGTTAGCTGGTTTAAGCTGGTCTTCCAGCATGGCCAAGATGGTCAGTAGCTGGTCTTCTGGCCAAGATGGTTCTCAGCTTGTCTCCCTGCCTGCCAGCTAAAAAGTGCACAGACAACTTTAAAACCATCTGAGAGACCAGCTAACCAGCTTAGGGTGGTTTATGATGTTTTTTTTTTTGTCTTCAGGGTTAGGGGAAATTTGAAATCCAAGGCAGAGTCCTTGCTCACCAGGCGCCCTCAATTATATAATTTAAAATATAAAAGTCACATTGACTATGGCTATATATTTAATTATTTTGTGGTTGGAATAATTCAATTAGAAGCATAATATGAACCTTTTGTACTGGTCATGTGAGGCCTCTGCTTCTTAACACTTAGTGAATTTGCTGTGGTCACATTTGTTATATAAGATTAAATGCAAATCACAGAAAATTCACGTTAGATAAGCCTGCTACTGTAAATTAGTCCGTGCATTAAGGTGGTTCTCACATATGATGTGATCTATCAATGGAATCCCATTATATGAATTCTGTCTTCATGCATAGATCCAAAGTCTAACATTGTTTTTTTTGCAGGAAGTACTTTTAACAAGTAGTCAGTCAAATATTGTGTTGTTTATCTGTTTTCTCTCTCCTCAACACTTTTTCCAGTTCAGCTGCAGACCTTTAAAAAAAAAACAAAAAAACGGGAAAATTGGTAATGAGCCAGGAGTGTGTTGAAACGCATCGGGTTGCATTGAGCCACCTTAATCTGCATGGATCTGTTTCTTGTTTCCAATGTGTATGTGTGTGTCTCTCTATCACGTAATGCAGAACTTATTTCCTCAGCAATTAAGGCTAAGGGGTCCCTCCAGGCCCCGATTGCCACCTCATCGCCCACTTCTCTCTTTTGCCGAAGAAACTGGAACTGAGAAGTGGAATACAGGAGCGAGCGCAGGAAAATTTCCTCCATATGGGTTCTTACGGATAGGTATTTATGTGCTCGGGCTTGTGTGGATGTACTTCTTTTGCAGTAAATGTAGGAATGATGATGGCAGTTGTCTCAATAAGTCTCAGTTGTCTGACAAGGGTACAAGTTGGAATGGTTTGTTGAACCATGCAAGGTAAGATGAGAGTTGTTGTTTGCGTTTTAGATTTATTTATTCGCCTGTTGCGTCTTTTTATGGTTTTAGTGAAGAATTAGATGGATTTGATAAGTTTATCATGCAAGTGTACTCACCTGTTGAGCCGTATGCCCTCTGGGGTGCATCATATAGGCCATCTGCCTTTTGTTGCCCAGGCATCTTCTCATGCAATCCTTGTAAGCAAAGTAGAATTTTGAAAGAAAACCATATGTGAATATACAACAAAAGGCTTTACTTTTAGGGTTCTCCAGTGTGGTGAGTATTTGTTGTATGTAATCCAATGTTAATTTCCTCTCACCTTTAACCATTTGATTCATATTGCAGGTACGATGGCCGTGGTCATTTACATGATCTTTCGGACTATGACGCAGGCTCGTGGAATCACGACTACCAGCTGTCTGAGGAGGAGGCCAGGATAGAGGCTCTGTGTGATGAGGAGAGGTACCTGGCAATGCACACCGATCTGCTGGAAGAGGAGGCCAGACAAGGTAAATGCACAACGATCTATGATCTCAGTCAATTTTTATGTATAATTCAAACCTGTGAAGTCAGGTCACTCAGCTTGAGTGCAGTGTTGATTTTTTTTGTACACAGCTTTATGCTTTAGTTTTATTTCTTTGTATGTGTTAGTCAGTTTTACTCTGACTCAGTGGCAACTGGATGCATTGAGGCATTGTTTATTGAAATATTTTTTTTTTCTTAAAGCATTTTTCAAAAAGATTTTCATAATCATTTTCAGTTTTCTTCAAAAATAATTTTTGTCAACAGTATTTTTAAAGTTTTGATTTATAAATAGTTTATTTTGTTTTGTTAAATTACATTTTATTAATATTTGTTTTAATCATTATTTCAAGAAAACATGTTTCATTAAGCAAATACTATACTTATAAGAGATTCAGAAATACTTTTTATTTACTCTACCTTTTATTTATTTTTCTTTGTTTTTTCCAAGGCTGTATTTTAAAAAAAAAATCTAATATTACAATTTAGTGAATATAGTGAAATTACAATTTAAAATAACAGTTTTCTATTTGAATATATTTTCAAATGTAATTTATTCCTGTGATGGCAAAGCTGAATTTTCAGTAGCCATTACTCCCATCTTCAGTCTCACATGGTCCTTCAGAAATCATTATAATATGCTGATTTGCTGCTCAAGAAACATTTTCTTGATTACACTGTTTTACTGCTATTTCTTAAGTCATCTAGCCCATCTATTTTCATCTAGCCCATCTATTTAAGTCATCTATTTTTTAAGTCATCTAGTCATCTAGAAAAAATGTGCTATTTATTAATTTTTTTGATGTGCTGAATTCAATAATAACGATTAAAACATCTGATTGGCTGCCGTTTCCAAAATATTCCAAGTTTTTTTTTTTTAATTTTAACCAATGTATATTGCTATTATACCAATGTAAAAAACTATTATGTACTAGGCTTGCTGCAGATAGGTGGTGTTCTACCTCACATCTATTACATCACTTCGCGACTCCTATCGCGCCACTGTCCCCACTGTCGTTCACATTTTTTTATAGCAATGCAAATAATTTCATTCAGTTAGAGAACAGGCACTACAATTAAAACTAACCGCGTCTGCTCAATTCAGCATGAGCCTGAGCACAGATCAGCAGCAGGAGTCAGATTTCATTTATTAGTGTGGTGTATGCTGTGATTATTCATTTTGTCAATAAAATTTCTATGTATAATATAAGCACATTTCATTTTTCATTAAGAAGAATAATGAGTCCTCCATTCAAGCAATTTGGAAACTAAAGTAAAATGCGCATGACCACACACAGGCATTTATAGGTGATTTAAAAGTGAGGGGGGAAAAGAGGGAAACGCAACAAGCTGTGGACTAGCGTTATCGATGTTAAAAATACAATAAAAAAAAAACAGCTATGCTGCTTAATATTTTTGTGTAAACCATTTGAAAGGACCGCAAACTTTGAATGGTAATGGAGACACCTGTTCAAAAGTTAGGGTTAGGGTTGTTTCAAATGAATGCTGTACTTTTGAACTTTGTATTCATCAAAGAATCCTGAAATCCTTAAAAGTATCACTCAAAAAAATTATTAAAATTAAAATTATTAAGCAGCACATGTATTAGTATGATTTCTGAAGGATCATGTGACACTGAAGACTGGAGTAATGAAGCTGAAAATTCAGCTTTGCCATCACAGGAATAAATTACATTTTAAAATATATTAAAATAGATAACATTTATTGATGACAATAAATTGATTATTACACAATATAGCTGTTTTTAACTGTATTTTTGATCAGATAAATGCAGCCTTGGTGAGCATAAGCTTCTTTTAAAAACATTTTGACCTCAAACTTTTGCATGTTAGTGTTATTAAAATATACTCAAATGCTCATAACATGGTGGCAAAAAAAACAAAACAAAAAACAAATCACTTTGGACCCCACTTTACCCATTTGAATGCATTTTGTGCTATTTTATTAACTCATAAACTATATACTTTTTCTGGAACCTCTGAAACCACAACATATTTTGTTTTCTTGTTTTCCCTGTGAGGCTTTTCATTGGGATGTATTGCCTATATAAAAGTAGAAAAGCATGAAGAGACCATTTTATATCAGCACTTTTTTGATGACCTTTTCAGTTGGAAATAATGAATCTAGCTTGTTTCGTCTAAGTGGACAAACCGCGCTCTTCAGTAAATCATGCTTTTCATGGTTATCGACTTGTGCAGTCAGACTTCAAGTGCATTCCTCTAATATCTTTTTGACTGTATTACGTTTCATGAATAGTGAAAGGTACTTGGTTATGATTTTTTATATGAAGAGTGTTAAACTGACATGATTTGTTTTTTAGAATAAATAAAATAAGTTGCAGAATGTCAGTGTTCTTGTTGGGTTATATTAGGTCACCAGACTGGTTCCTTGTTTTGTTTTGTGTTTGTTAAAGCTTGTTCTAGAATGTTCATGTTCAAGTCGAATGTTGTTCAAAATCAAGTTTGTTACTTGACTACACCCAACAAACTGTTCAAAAAAGTCCTTTAAATAGTCTCTGGTGTTATGTATCTAAACCCATACCAATTATTGGTTGGAACATAATTATTGGAATGACTTATCACGAGATGATAAAATAAGTTTCAGTCGCATAACAAGAGTTAATGGAAACGGTGTCATTTTGTAGTTTGTCATTTAGAAAATGTCACAAAAGTTTTGCGCAAATCTGTAATGGAAATGCAGCTAGTGTGTCAACAGTTTCAGATTCAATCCCGCATTTAAATAAGGCTGTTATTTCAGAAACTTTGCAATGGGCAGGTAGCTGCATGGTCCATGCATATTGTATACAAAAAGCAAACAAAGAGGGCATCACTGAATCTCAGCGCTCCTAAACTCCACGAGTTTCCTCTATACATACAATGTTTTTTAGCTGTATGGCTAAATAAATAAACACATCTAATTGTTCAAACTAATGTTCACATGCTTAACAACAGGTATATCTGTGATTGGCTACGATGCTCAACGCTGCATACTTTGCTCTTTACAGAGCATTTGCACTGATAAACATGGAGGAATTAACATATTGATGTTCATGATATTCTCAAATTTTATATCTTCGTCATCACAACTATCATGAAGAGTGAGATTTATTTGTTTGATCCATTTTGTTTCTGTCACATTTGCCAGTTTCTCATCAGTGTGAATAACACTGTCACATAGCGATTATCTTTGGAACAGCAGTATATCAAGCACCAAAATGAGCATAGTCATGATATTGTACCAGATTTTTTGTATACTGTGCAACCCTAGTAACACCTGACCTGAATTAACCCAAGACTGCTTAAATCATCAGATATGTTTATAAGCAATCAGCTATATATTGCTTTGGATGTACTGAAATATCATCCAAAAAATGTCATTAAACTCTATCTATGTGTATATATAAAGCTACTGTATTTTACAAGTGCTTTTCCAAATCACATTTTAAAGCCGGAGCAATCTGTTTTTTCAATCACTTATGTTGGAATGTTTAACATTTTCAGAATGTTGTTTCGTAACTAACTAGTTAGGCTTACGGGCTAGGCTGACGAAACAAGGGCAAGCTAATATTATAGCACATTACAATAATTTGGCATATGCATCACAAGGTTCAAAAGTAATTTTCCTTAGCGCAATAGACAGTTTAACCATATTTAAACAGAGGTGTGCAGTAAGTGGGAGTGCATTATGATGTCCTTTGCTGATGGTGTTTGCCCTTTGGATGTGACCTAACCTCATTAAACTTTTATCAATCTGACTACATTAACACCCTGTAAACTCTAATAAAGCATTTTGATTGTTTAATGTTGGACTGTCCTTTTGCTCAATTGCAGTTTTAGTATTTGTGATTCTGTAGTGAGATCGTGTGGCTGTTTGGATGTGCAGATTGGTATGAATATATGTTTCTTATATATGAAGGTCAGTTTTAGGTAAACTGTATTTAGGTGAGTGTATGTTTTAGTTGTTTTAGAGTTGCTTTGCCACTGCACTGTCATCAGCACATACTTTGTTTTCTTTCAACTATGCATGATAATTGATACAGTTTCTGTGCTGCATTTGGAGTATAAAGTTGGACAGCTTCTTTGTGTGTTGAGGGAACGCAACCCAGACATGAAACGAACCAAAAATGGCACATGCTCGTTAGATGCGACTCTAAAAGGACAGTGTTTTTTTCTCGTCATAGTCATGATGATGCATCAGAACCGTGTCTATTGCAGCAGACCAGTGTTTGACCGATGAATTCCTGCCATTGTTTTGACTCCTTTACACATTTTATAAGTTCTTCACAAGCTCTTATCATACCAGTATCAAAATACCATCAAATGTTTTGTTTAGTTTAGTTGTTTAGTGATGTTTAGTTTCAACCCTGCTCCACCACAAATATCTGTAGTTTTCAAAAAAGCCTGAAGGACTTGTTGAGCTGGATCAGGTGTGTTTCATTTAGGTTTAGGCTAAACTCTGCAGGGCAGTTTCCTTCAGAAACAGTTTTTCACCCTACCTGATGTAAAAAAGACCAGTCTGAGGGTACATTTACATGACAACGATGTACTAAAAGACAATAACCGTACTGTTTTAAAAACTTGACCTTTTAAACAAGGTTTTAAATGTGTTTTTAGGCCCCCAAAACGCTGTTGTCGTGTAAAATTATTCCGTTTTTAGTTGCAAAAGTCACGAGTGTAGTGTAAACGGCACATTATACGTTTAATAGAATGGTGCAGCAAAATTAAAGAACTCATAATGCAAGTAAGTGAACGTTTATTGCTAATTTTCTTAAAGAGAAATTATTTAATCGCTTTTACTTTAAGTTAACACTACTGAAAAGTTCAGACTCAGAAATTAATACTTTTATTTAGCCAGGATGCATGAAATTGCCAAAAAGTTGTTGTAAAGTTGTAGTAAAGACATTGTATAATGTTACAAAAGATATCTGTTAAATAAATAAATAAATCAATGTCAAATAAACTGTTGAAATGAACTCTTTTGAATTTTCTATTCGTCCAAAAATCCTGAAAAAAAAATATCATGGTTTTCACAAAAATAACAAGTAGCACAACGGTTTTCAACCTTGATAAGAAATATTTATTGAACAACAAAGACGCATATTAGAATGATTTCTGAAAAATGATGTGACACTGAATGTTTGAACAATTGAAAATTCAGCATTGCCATCACATGTAATAAATAACATATTATTTTTATAGAAAACTGTTGGTTTCTTACCATTGTTATCATAAAAGACTTCTTTCAAAAGCATCAACAATATCTTGCCCAATCTTTGAACAGTGTGTGCAAACTAAAAATAGAGAGGATGCCTAAAGATAGAAAAATAGTTTAGAAAGAGTTAGGCTAGTCAAATAATGATTAGTTGGATCAGTGTTTAAGCCCCAACATTAGAATTTTCAAATTTTAAGGCAATGTGAATCAGCAGTAAAATTGTGTAGAACATTACAATTAATTTGCAGAAATTAAGTTTTGTTCATGAGAATCTTTTGTTCTGTTTGCAGAGGAGGAGTATAAAAGGCTGAGCGAAGCTTTGGCCGATGAAGGCACCTACAGCGCAGTGGCCTTCCGCTACAGTGCGGACTACTACGACCCTTCCCAGCCCACTGAGGAAGAGGAGGCCAACAGAGAAGCAGGTGGGAACCGTACAAGTCTAGAAACCACACAACTTCAAAAACCACATACTTACTTTGAACTGCCGCTTGAGTCTTCCTAATGAGATTCGGTTTCTCTGACAAGTTTCTGTTCTTCTCAGACATTAGCCTACGAACTTCAAAATTCTCCTGGATGAAATGAGGCCATTTCCCTTAGGTCAAATAAGTTTTTGTGCCTCAAGGCACTGAAAAGCTCAATGTTTTTTAAAGAGAATGAGCGTGGCAAGCAGTGGATATGTAGAGACTGTTAATGACGAGCAAGGTCCAGCGGTTCAGCACTAAAGAGTTTTAGCAAAAAACATCACACTCTACGGCTTATTGCTTTATAAACACTGAAGTCTAGAATTAGTTTGAGTCCTCAAAGCTCGTCTTGAGCGGAAATTCGGTGACAAATGAGATTCTAAAACAAAAAGTAATCACCCTCGATGCTTTTGTAATTCTCATTCATACCTGCTTGTAACAGTACTCTGTAGAGAACAAAACACTTGGTCTATTGGCACACAGTCCTTATCCACACACACATACACACAGTCAACTAGTGTCATTGATTTATTTTTCTCACTGTGACTGATGAAGTCATCATTTTAGTAGGAGCTGAACTGGAAGCCAGACAGCATTTTTCCTCCCTCATCAGAGTAAGATTGTTCTCGATTATCAGCCTCAGACATCACGCCCCACAGGCCGGAAAGTACTTTTTCAATGTCGCAGGCTGTGATCTGATTGGTTGCCTTTACACAACTTCCAAAAATTAGGGCCAAACACGATTTTTTTTTATCAGTTCACTTACCAGTGCCTAGAAATTCTAAAGTAAAAAAGAAAACAAAAAAACTTATTTGTAATTGTAGTTGAATATTACTAGAGGAGTTCTTAACTTAAGTTTTGAGCATCAAGGTGCGGGTTTATAGACCAATTCCCTGTGAAGGTGAAGTCATTTTGTTGATTTGCCAGTTTAATGGCATCTTAGAAAGATATTTAGAATTTTTGTGTAAGGAATTTAGATACAAGAACCTGATATCCACGAGCAGAGCAGCATTTTTTTGTTTTTTTTATTTATATCTATGATATTTCCAGTGCTTGTTACTTTTGATTATAGATTTTCATCTACGTAGTTCTCCAGGGTTTTCTGTTCAAAGCAACGCCTTATTTTAATGGCAGTGTATACTGTATATAATTATGGTATGATCTAAACATAAAAAACAAAAGAGATTGTGAGAACATGTTGTTCTCATTGTGCGCATGGCTCTTGGCCAAAATAATCTGCACTGTTGACCTGACCTTATGCCGTTTACTCAAAGATCTAGCTTTGTGAGACTATGTGAGATGCTGAAATTGCTGTTGTCTTTTGTAATCATCAACGTAAAAAAGTTAAGCCCACATGACAACTGACTATTTGTTGGATAGGTTTAGAAGGGCTGTTTGATTAGTTAATGTGCCACTTGTAACATCTCGATTCATCTCCCACAATATCTTTGGTTCTTGCACATTATTGCACCAGCAATGTATTTCCAGCTCGAGACTTCAGCATCAAATTTTTATTTGGTCTTAATCTGTCCTGGCCAATTCATGGAGGCCAAGGGTTGAAGAGTGCACGAAGGCAGCAGCAGTAAACGGAGATGACGGGGCTTGTTATCTCTCAGAAAGTTGGAGTAACTCAAAATGAAACTTAAAGAGCCTCCAGTTCTTTTAAAGTGCCCTTACTTATAGAGGCTTCATATTTACATCTGATTTACCCCCCTTGCACCTCTGATTATTTTATGCTTCTTCTGCCTTGCCGATCTGATTTTGTCTATTCATTCTGTTTTCCCCTCACCTTTGTCCTTCTCTCAGATCAAGAGCAAGCGGAGGAAGAGAGTGAGGAGCCGTTTGTGGCGCCCCCTGGCCTCCTCATCCCTCCAGATGTAGAGCTGGTAAACAAATTATGAATCATACCTATTTTGCAATAAGATAGTATTTATTTTCTTGTTATGGCCTTTTATAGATAAATGGCCTATGGCTTTTCTGTACTATTATGTCTAAATTAAAATTCAACAATACAACACCAAAAACTAAAATCAATTATTGTTAAATGTTGTAAGTGAATTTTAGCATCACAATATGCATGAAATGGATATTCATATATAGATTTTATAAATATTGCATATTGTTAGTAAATTGTATTTTTTTTTTTTTACATTTCAAATCGGGGAAATATCTAATAAAGTATATTAAATACTAAAATTACTTATTAAATTATTTTATATAATTAATAAATAATGACGATGCAGATAAATTAAGTAAAATAAAAGTCTCTAATATTTGGAGACAATCAACAAGGGGCCAACATATTGTGCTTTCCTACTTATAATCACCATTACCTACTTTGATTTAAATGTGTACTTGATTTGGTTTTCTGTTGTTGGATGTCTTTTAACTTAAACCGAAAATATGCAGCTTTGGACTTGGCAAGAGGCCATTTATGACTATCTAACAAATAAGAATTTATTCTCTGTTCTTTTCTATTCAGAAGATTTGATTTAAGCTATAAAGATCTTTCTTTGTATAACCTGTGCACATAGTGGGATGCTAACGTCAATATGGGCTTTTATCACTGCAGGATCCCTCGTTTCACAGCCACAAACAATCACTGATGGTTTTTTTTACAGTCCTTGTAGCTGAAAGAAAGTTGATCCAACAAAATTATTCTTCTCTAAAAGCTCAGGAGTGTCTGTGCCCCTCCTTTATCCTCTTAAACCAAGGATTTGTCAGCACTTTCCCACCAAGGCCTACTGGAAACAACATGAATACTTATCCATCCAGTGAGCCACTTGTCGTGAAAACAAAACAACAACCCTAACCTTTCTCTTTCTTTGTTGGTGGGAGTGATATTCGTCTCGAGTTTGGAATATAAGTGGAAGCCTTCAGTTTCTTACACTTGAAATTCCCAATTAGTTTCAAGTCTGTGAGGTTCTTTGACGGAGCCTTGTGAATTATTAATCTTCAGCTGCTCTGATTACCTTGCTTATTGTACAGCACATAGCTTGAAGCAACAAAAGAATCCGATTTTGAAGACAAACGTTGGGTTGTTTATCTTCAAATTAGCAAGTCATTATTTGACTCTCATTGTCTCTGGAGCTTTGAAAGCAATAGATTCTCTATTTACCTGGACATTGGAACCAAAGTACAGCCCTTTGAAAAGTTCTCATGCAATATTCATACTTCCCTCTAATGAGGGATGCGTGTCATTTTCACAACTGTGACACTATTGGAACCATTTGTCATTTAAAATATGGCATTGCCATAAATCAGTTCAGCACATGAATATGATGTTGTCTGCAGCTTGAAAGATTTGTGACTATTTTAAATCTGTGTGTGTAGCTGGAAATTAATTAATGACGTCCCTGGTTAGATTCATGAAGCATCAATTGTTTGTGTGTAGAACTGCAGTATCTATAAAATCATTGTTCTTTACCAGTTTTACTATACAAATTTTCTAATTAATCTTTATTTATATAAAACATTTTTTTTCTAATTGCATATATTCTCTTATAAGCTTTTTCATAATTTCAGTCTTGTTTACCCCATTTCTTTGCCATTTATTTCAGCCTGCGACCATCAAGACGCATGCTATTATTGAGCGCACCGCCAACTTCGTATGCAAGCAGGGGGCCCAATTTGAAATTGTGCTGAAGGCAAAGCAGTCTGGGAACTCCCAGTTTGATTTCCTGCGGTTCGACCACTACCTGAACCCTTACTACAAACATATTTTACGAGCTATGAAGGAGGGGAGATACACACCGGCTTCTGAGGTCAAGCAGGACCAGCAACAGGGTAAGTTTTTCATGTGTTACAGTTTTTTCCCCCCACAATTCACTGGTGTGCATCATTATAAACAAACCAAAAAAACCTAAACAAGCCCAAACTTTTGAATGGTATATATCACCATTATACAAATTAAATGGGTTGCGAATTCTGTTTGATTTGGACTTCCTCTGGGTGCATTTCTCTCATTATGTATGTATTCAAAAAATTAACAAGAGTCAATTGTTTTTAAAATAAACGAACAGATCTGAACAAATGTGACATTTCTGAAGTTAGAACCCAAGTTCTGAAGTTAACAAGCCAAACAATTGGTCCTTTTTTGTAAAACAGAATCAAAGTCAGATGATTCTGATGATGATGATGATGATGATGGGGATGGAAACTACCTGCACCCGAGTTTGTTTGCATCCAAGAAGTGTTCTCGTCTGGAGGAAATAATCAAGGTATGACTTCAAACATACCCCATGCTGCTTAGAAATATTAATACATGTTTTTGACATTTTCAGACTTATTATGTACCTTGCACCTTGTATCAAACATCGTAAAATGGGTGTTCATAACTAAAACAGCATTGACATCCAATTTAGCCTTTTGCTATGCACACTGTGCTTTAAACGCATTTATTTGCAATCAGTTAACCCAGTTAAATGGGTGGTTACCATTATTTTCTAATTTAATTGCTAAGTGTTGAAAGCCATGCATTTCAAAATTAGTGTCAGATTGCTCTAAAGCTGTATTTTTTTGGCAGAACTGGGCCTGATATGAAAGGATCTGACATCAAAGTGTTCCCTTCTTACATATTTGTTCAAATAAGGATATCATCAGATGGTTATAGCTTTGAGTTCTTCATCTAATATTCTGTATGTTTAATCTGAGATGGCACAGATAGACATTGGAGATAAAAGCTTGTAAAATAAACTAATGTTGTCTGATTTTGGTTTCCTAATAGAAGTCTTCAGCTCTTGGCTTGATGGTATAAGTTGGCTTTTCAATCATGAACTTTAACTTTTGCAATACGTGTCTAATTTATTTATAAGAGCTCACTCATAGCATGGGTATTACTGTCAAATACTGCCAGACTTTTCAGAAATGATAAAACCTACCTAGCATAACCTCGGTTCTCTGTAGAATAGGGAGCGAGTATTGTGTAAGTTAGCTTATGCTACGGGAAAGATTAATCTTTTCGAGATATTGAAGCCAAACATTTATCTTTAATTTTTGTATTCATTGTCAATGCATTGCAGCAGCTAGCAGACCTGGAGCAGGCTGCCCTGAGCCCGGAATGTCGTCACGTCCAATGAAGGGCGCTCGCACCTTTATCGCATCTTAGCCCTCCAGAATGGGCGTGGCTTAGAATATAAAAGCAGGGCTCTGAGACTGTCTACCTGGTTTTCATCGACTGAAGTGAAAGTCGCTTGTGGCGCGAGCACGGCGGGTTACTTAATACTCGTTCCCTCTTCTAGAGCAGTGTTTCCCAACCCTGTTCCTGGCGGCACACCAACACTGCATGTTTTCTTTGTCTCCCTTATCAAACACACCTGACTCAACCCATCAGCTCATAATCAGGTGGGTTAATGAGCTGATGGGTTGAATCGGGTGTGTTTGATTAGGGAGACAAAGAAAACACGCAGTGTTGGTGTGCCGCCAGGAACAGGGTTGGGAAACGCTGTTCTAGAGAGAACCGAGGTTACGTTACGTAGGTAACCGATGTGTTCTCTCGTATTGCATAAGTTAGCTTACGCTATGGGAACCCTTTGTCAACACCATGCATGCCAAACATCCACTTCATGAGTCCCAGGGAATTCCGGAGATCCCATATAAACAGGGAATAAAGCGGCAGCAATGCAGGCCGGCACAAGTTCATAATCACTCATAGGGAATACAGAGCGTCTGTATAAGCGTCCGTATAAGCATGGAGTGCTGGTCAACCAGGAGAGCTAAGTCACGTGAGTAGGCTTGTGCAAAATTCAGAATTTCAGAATTGGCCTCCATTCAATTCATGAATTGGAATTTGAATTGAATTGACTCCGCCCCCCATGAAGTTGAATTTGAATTTGAATTGGAATGACAGGAAGTGGAATTAAATTCATGGCAATTCAAAGATATTCCACACAGTCACACAACAGAAAGAATGTGTTGAATCTCACATGAGCGGGGCACAACGTAACGCTTTTTGACTTTCTCAGTTTGTGCAAATCTATGTAGAGTGCTTATTTTTTTTCCCACATTAATTTCCCACATGTCTAGTACAATTATGTGGTTTTGTTTTATTAATACAGTGTATACTTTTTTCTTGATTTACCCTGAAAGAATGGAAGTGAAATGTGACAACATGCCCCATAGGTGGGGTACATTGTAACATGTGAGGGATACACTGTAACATCACCATATATAACAGCTTAAAATGCTATCTGATCTAATCAAAAATATACAAGTCAAACCAAAATATTTTCTTAATAAAATACAATTATTATCTTTTTCATATAAAATAATGGCATTTTTTTTAATAATTAAAAATAATCTAATTTTTGATATTGACAACAAACACACAGGAAACACAGCTATAATAACAAAATAATAATCAATCATTTCTGAACATTGACTCTCAGTCTTTTTTTACATGTTTCTCATGTTTTCTCAATTGAATTCATAAAAGTATAGAATATAATAGCATATTTCTAATAGGGACACATTGTAACGCAGTGTGACTACATGCCCCAACTGCACAACTGGGGTTTAAACCCTGCTAATGTCTTAACGAATCATTAAAGAACTATATCAACTATTAAACAACAGATTAGAGATAAAAAAAATTCACTTAGGTAAGATATGTACTTTTGCTATGGTTAAATAAATGTTCAGTGATATCTTACAAAGATCTCTGCATTTTGGCGCAATTTTTTTTCAGTATAGTGTTGAAATGGAAACTAGTAAATACAAGTTTTGTCATGCTAGCATGTGGAAGTATTTAAAACAAGTGTGTTACAACTAGCCCCACATTACGTTGTGCCCCACGCTCCCCTACAGTCAGGGTTAGGAAGTTTAATTTGGGAATGTAATGTAAAGCAATATCCTTTTAATTCTGGGAAATGGCGCTACAATTACAATAAATAAAACTTATTATTTATTCTAACATTCATTGCTGGGGGAAAACATTGCTGGTAGTTCAAACTAAATTTATATAATATGTAATGCAATTTAGTAGTCATTCTCAATTCAATTCTGAATTGTGCACAAGCCTGCATGTGAGAGTAGCCTGCACACAATGAGATCTGGACAGAACATGCATCTCACTTATACTGACAGAAGTTTATCCTGCAGGGCAGGAACATCCAGGTTATAGAACCTAACAAAGGTGGATGGGGAGGCCCAGCTTGCCGCCACACATATGTCATGAATTGAAATTCTGCTAGACCATGCCCACGACGAGGCCATGCCTCTAGTGGAATGAGGCCTGATGCCCAAAGGGCATTGCAGACCTTTTGACGTGTAGGCAGATGCGATAGCTTCCACTATCGATCTGGACAGGGTTTGTTTCGAGGCGTTGAGACCTTTGGTGCGCCCACCAAACTAAATGAAAAGCTGCTTCGAGCGCCTGAAAAGGATGGAGTGTGTAATATATGCCCTCAGCGCCCTGACCGGGCAGAGGGGATTAACATCGCTCTTGCTATCGGATGCTGGCAGAGCAGATTGAGAAATGACCTGCGCTCTGAACAGAGTGCCAATCACTTTAGAGATGTAGCCATGTCTAGGTTTGAGGATGACTTTAAAGACAGACCGCGCGTGTAAGTCTACCACACGTTTGACTGATGATAGAGCAGTCAGAAAAACGGCTTTGAGTGATTGGTACTTTAGATCCACGGAATCTAACGGTTCAAAGGCATAAGCTCTCAGGACCTCAAGGACCAAAGAAAGATCCCACATAGGAACTGATAGGAGGGCGTGGGGGATTTATCCTCCTGGCTCCTCTAAGGAAGCGACTAGGAAGCCATAGGCGGGTACGGGGGATTCATTCTCCTGGCCCCTCTAAGGAAGCAAATGACAAGCTCATTCTTTACTAGTGATCGGCCGCGCGCCGACTTTAAGCGTGGAGGGAGACCTCCCCTTATCCAACAGCTCTTGGAGGAAACTAAGCAACTGCGAGACCCTACACGTTTGTGGGTCCAGATTTTTGTCGCTGCACCATTTGAAGAACACAGACCGGTCCCACTTTATATTAAGTGGCTTTAAGTACCATGTACTTGCATTTAAATTAATAATTTGATACAATGGACTTATTGTGTACATACATGTTTTTACATTGTACTTATATTTAAAAAATACCAGCATGTAATTACAGCCGTAATTAATTTATGTAATTACATCTGTAATTACACAGCTGACCCATCCCTTACACTTAAACCTACCCTTAAACCTACCCATACCACCACACCTGTCCCTAACCTTACCTGTATCCCACCTCAATAGGCAACAGTGAGAGAAAGCATACAGATTTGGGTTGGCGTGTCCTCGTTCTTCGAAAAGAACGTTGGGCAGTGAGCATTGTCTTTTGACGCAAAGAGGTCGACTTCCGCTTTGCTGAAAATGCGCCAGTGTGACTGGACTTTTTGGGGGTTCAGGGACCATTCCCCCAGGGGAATAATGTCCCTGGACAGTTTGTCTGGGCCGTCGTTCAGGTGGCGCAGAAGGTGCTGAGACCAAACGAGGAGGCGTTCTGTTAGATTGCAGAGCTTCCTGGATCTGACACCGCCTTGACGGTTCACGTAGGACACCACAGACATGTTGTCCGAACGGACTAGAACATGGTGGTCCTGTATGAATGGGAGGAACCGCTTCAGTGCGTTCTCAACCGCTATCATTTCCAGACAGTTTATATTATGGTATGGAGCTTCTCTTGGTGTGACCACAGGCTAAAGACCGGTCTGCCCTCGAAGAGAGCACCCCAACCTGAGTTGGACGCATCTGTCGTGATGACCTTTCGATAGGAGACAGCTCCCATCATCACTCCCCGCTGATACCAGTCGACCGCTAACCAAGGCTGCAGAGCCGTAATGCAGCTCTGAGTCAGTCTGAATCATTCACAGCCAGTCTAGAGCTCGGTGAGATGCTCAAACGGAAAGGATAATATTTTGGCTTCAAAAGATCTCGAAAAGATTAATCTTTCTGCTGCTAAAGAAACAGTGACTGTTGAACATTCATCTCAGGTCTTATGCTTGAGATCCCTCGCTGTGTCATGTTCTTCTGTGGCTTAGTCAACCTGTGTGTTCTGGTTCTTCCAGAATATGGGATTAATGCCACCCACATGTTATGATTTATTGATAACTTATTAGCAGCTTATCAGGTGTAACTTAACATGACTAGTTACCTGATAACTTATCAGGTAACTAGTCATGCATTCTTGGGGGCAGTTTTCAACAAAAAAAAAACAAACAAACAAAAAAACGATACTACACCGACACCTTATTCAACTAAAAACTGAAAACGTATTCGTTTTGGCCTTTCATTTAAACAAAAGCGGCAATTTGGGGGCCGGGAAACTAGAACTTTTGAATATTGTCAACCTGTGTGTTCTGGTTCTTCCAGAATATGGGATTAATGCCACCCACATGTTATGGTTTATTGATAACTTCAGGGCCGGCTCTAGCCCTTTGGTTGCCCTAGGCGAGATTGATTTGCAAGTTTTTGAAACCGGTACCGTTATTGTCTCTGTGTTAACTACAAAATTGCGACTTTGACGCCATACGCATGCATATTACATGTTTCGTCTATAATAGTATAATATAATAATACTATAATATAATATTTACAAAGTGGTATTTACAAAGTTTATTTACTACTTGCCTGATGGCATAATACAGCATTTTTTTGCGGATTCCGCGTGAACAGGGATTGTTTTGACAACGTTGTCGTCTGTACACAAAAATTGGGTACATCGTACAGTAAATGCATACAGTTTTAGTACATTGCTAATCATGAATGCAGCATTAAGTTTGCAGGGCATTTAAAAATAATGAATTGCACACATTGTTAAATATTGCTTACTATAACTAAATTTATGCAATATAATTACATTTATTTATTATTTATGTATTAAATGTAATTACAGTTATATAGAAGTTGTCATAATGTTATACAATTTAATTCACAAATGTTATAAAATATACATTTATTAGGTTTTTAATTGGTAAGAAATCGTACAGCTATAATGAAATTCCAGGATAGCTATAAATTTAGAAACAGATTTGCTGGAAAAATGATAGCATATGGTGGTTTGTTTATAATATTCACCTCATTTTAAATTATACGTCCAAGACTATCACAAATCATTCTCACAATTTCCACAAGCTTATTTATGTAAGCCAGCTAAATGACTTGGTTTACATATTTAAATCATTACAGGGAACCAGATGTTTAGTTTTTGTAAGGCATAAAATATAAGCTTTTCCTAATAGCTTTACCTTATATATTGTTAAAATTTTGTCCTTTCCCTTTCATTTTTTTTAGTCTGTATGTTTGAAATTATTAAAAATGGAGGCAATTTTGTACACACAGGATAGAACCTTTTACCCAGAGAGCTCATTTATTGGAAGCTTGAAATATGAGCCTTTTGAGGAATCATTTCTGCTCATGTAATGAGTATTCAAGATCTCACACTTGTAAAATAGCACCTCTAGTGGTGACAAGTAGTACTGCAGATTCAGCTGAATAAGCTTGTGTTGAAGGAATGGTTCAGGAAAAAAAAGAAAAAAAAGAAAATTGTCATTGTTTACTCACCCTCCTGTTGTTTCGTAAAATACATGTTTGTTATTCAGTGAGCAAGTCAAGCAAACTGGATTTTTAAGATGTTTTGTCATAGTACGGTGCAGACATGTGTAGACTAGAAGCTGTCTGCATCTGTTGAACAGTACTTAAAAGGTCACCTCCTTAGAGGACAGAAGGGATTCCAGTAAAGTGCCTGTTCAGCACTTTGTGTAAAAAGAAGTGGTCTCGCCAGGTAGGGAAAGGATCCGTTCATGCAGGACTGCAACAAGCAGAAGTGATGACAGCGTTTAAAGTCTATAAAGCATGGAGTGACATCCAGTGGCAGGAAGTGCTGAGAAGAGACGAGTGCAGACTTGAAATCTTTGGTTAATATGGACGTCCCTGTATGTTATTTTCTTACTTTGTTAGACTGGCTACCTTATACACAATTGCAACGGTGTCTCACATGGACAAGAAAAATAATTAAATGCAGCCAAACTCTGCAAGACTTTTGAAATGATCTGCCACAGAGCCACCTGAAATCACTACAAAACAATGTGCTCCAGTGCATTGCTTCCAAGGGGAAACACAAAATACTGGCTAGGTTTATAACCTGATTTGTTGACTTAACTCAATTGTATGGTTATGGTTGCATGCAAAATCACAAATTCTGTTTTGTTTAAACAGCTTTACACACATTTTCTGGTTGGGATATATTTATAGATACTGAGGAAAGTAGTGCTCAGCCCATTGACCATTTTTCATGTGTCATAGCCTCTGCAGGTCATTGATCCAGATCACCCGTTGGCAGCGCTTGTTCGAAAGGCCAAACAGGAGAATAATGGTGCTGTGGCAATAGCGACCAAAGCAGAGGAAGAGCATCAGCCGCCGCCAGTAACCACACAGATTGAATACAGCTCCGACCGTGAGTATGATGCCACATCAACATCTATAATTGTGAAGCCCAAAGCCCTTTTGTTTAACCATAATGTAAATGAATACAAAAATAAATTGTTAATAATAACTAGGGGTATAACAATCGTGTCAATATATATCGCAATACAAAAATGCAAGAAATGTGTCATGCATGGTGACGATCTGTGTTGAGTGTAATTTACCCAAAATGAAAATTACTGTGTGAGGGGAAAAAAAAAGTTTTAATATCAGTACTAGATTAAACTACTATAATGTTACATGATGTATAATAATGCAATGAGGGAATATTTGTGGGTTCTGATAATGCCAAAATGTCTTGTTTTCACTTTCAGTAAAAAGTTGCCTATACATTATTTTAAATATATCTAGTCAGTGACAGAGTGCAAGCATATCTGTCTAAAATAATTCAGTATTTTCAGCTTTAGAATTATAGATATTTGTATTCCGATGTCATCATTTTACTAGAGTGCTATATAAAAATATGTATCTGTCTCATATACTGTTAGTCATTTTGGTTGTTCAAAGAACAGGTTTGTGTTTTAACACATGGTGAACATAAATGGGCTTGACATTTACTGTGTGCTTAGACTTACAATGCACCATAAAGCTTGAGACAAACTGAAACTGCAGCATGATAGAGTTCTGTTTGTCTTTTTTGGATGTGGTCGGTGGTACTTGGCATGACTCGTTCTCATTAAAAAGACGTATTTCCTCTTGAGATGAGTCTTTATTGGAAGTGGACTACAATGCCAGCTTTGGCAAATCATTAACATCTTGAATTATTTTTAGGATGATCGATTTCCAGGGCATTCTTGAGTGAACATGGCAGTGAAGCTGACCTTCCAATGCGAGCAAAGTTCATTAAATTAAATACTAAAGCAGGCAGGCTGCCCTCCTTATCTTCAGTCAGTTCAAATTCAACAACTTTAAAGCCAGTTTTTCTTTCAACCACTTGAATTGATTCTCACTACATCCTCAGAATTTTGCAGCTGTTGAGCACCATAATGGATCACAGACATGTCCATTGTGCATGTTATTTCAATGGGGAAACAAACGCACTCAAATTAGTCTATAAGTCTGTCAGTAATAACATCTGCTTCTAATGAGTGAGTTTTTAAGCAGTCTGATCCACAGATTTTCTGTTCTTGCTGCCAAAATGAGTGCACCTGATGCAACTTTAGAAGAAAACCAAAAAGTAATCAGTGGTAATTGGGAATAATATTGAATTTGCTTGATATTGGAGCACTTGGTTGCAGTGTAGTACCTGGTATGCAGCAATCGAGCAACGTCAAAACTGTGACATATTATTATAATAATCAACAGGGCACTGACACGAAAAAGATATTTATGCAATGTGGATAGAATTGCTCATTATAATGGGAAAGAAACTTTTTTTTTTTTTTTTTGCATCTGCTTTTTTTGATTTAAATCTATTTAAAACAAATGGCTGTTTGTTTTTGCTTTTGCCAAGAGGACAGATGTGAAGTTGAAGTTTGATTTACTGATAAAACAGCAATGGATTCATTTAGCAACACCGTTCTCAGCTTGTTTTGATTTTGCCCCTCACTTAATAAGTATGTTAATGTAAGTTCTAATAATAAGTGTTATTTAAGTATTATTCATAGTTTTTTATTTTTATAGTATTATTGTAGTACTACTACTTAGTATTGTAGTGTTAATTATTATTTTCAATTAGCATTTTTTCTCAGGCTTCCATTTTTAGTTTTAGTTATATTGTAATTTATTATTATTATTGATTTAATTATTTGTAGTTAAATATTTTTGTATGTTTCAATTTATTCATTTCATCTTGATTTAATTTAATTTGATACTATTTTAAGTAATTTTTTAATACTTAAACTTTTTCATTAGTTAGTTGCCAAAACATTTCTAATCTTCACTCAAATTTAAAGTAAAAGTTTTCATTTAATATTTTGTTTGTGTGTGTGTGTGTGTGTGTGTGTGTGTGTGTGTGTGTGTGTGTGTGTGTATGTGTATGTGTATGTATGTATGCATGTATGTGTCAGTTCTATTTCAATTAATTAAGTTTTAGTTAAAGGGATAGTTCTGTCATCATTTACTCACCCTCAAGTTGTTCCAAACCTGTATGAGTTTCTTATTCTCCTGAACACAAAAGATGATATTTTGAAGAATGTTGTAGCCAAACAGTTGAATGTACCCCATTGACTTCCATAGTATTTTGTTTCCATACTATGGAAGTCAATGGGGCCCACCGACTGTTTAGTTACCCTTATTCTTCAAAATCTCTGCTTTTTTGTTCAGCAGAGAAAACAATTTCATACAGGTTTGTAACAACTCTAGGGTGAGTAAATAAAGACAAGAGTATTAATTTTTGGGTGAACTATTCATTTAACAGTAGCAACACCGAATCAGGCATAATTATGCTTACAATTGTAATACTATTTGGCAAAATAAAGCTGCTGCTTCTCTTCGTAATTTGGCTGGGAAATTCCAAGTGTTGAACTGATTAAAGTTAGTAGGACAATTATGACCAAAAAAAAAAAAAAAAAACATAATTAATGATTTTTCCCCACTACATACCCAGAGCATTATCCTCTCACCTGGTCATACTAGAAAAACGTTAAAAACTGCTCAGACAAATTATGACGGCAAGCATTGGCAGATTTATTTTGACCAAAGAAAATAGCAGAAAGTTTTTGTCCTCCAGTGTCCCATGGCGATTAATCTTCAATTCGCTGTTAGCTGGTTCTCTTGCTTGGACTCTCAAGGTTTTAAGGTACTGTGGGGAACGAGCAATTCGCTTTTTGTTGGAAGTAGAGAATTTAGAGCTCAGCTGGTGAAACACTCAAGCTGGGACTGCTGATTTGTCTCAATTAGCTTGACTGAAAGAGCACCACTGGTTTCTTGAGGGAAGTGGCACAGGATTACAGTGCCCAAAGGCGCTTCAGTGGGCCAGTTTCTCAAAAGAAAAGCTACTTTGACTGCAAATGTGTATTTTCTAGTATTAACAGCATTACAAAGAGGTTCTGTGGGCTTAACCACAGTCATCCTATAATCTTTGTGCAAATGTGAGGGTTATTTTTAAGGCTTATATAAGGCTTTGGCCTGTATCTGAGGTTTGCTGTGTATTTGACTTTGAGGGATGTTTGGCACTAAATTTGAAGTTTGTTTTAACATTGTTCCCTTTCTTCTCAAATCAAGTTGGAATTAGTTCCCCTGCTTGATCTATTTTAAACTAGTTGCTATCAAGTTCCAACCATGTGGTATGACAAAAGGAGAAAACGTTTTATAAAAACAGATTCCTTTGGTTACCTGGTGGTGGGATGTCTTAAGACTCATGGAGATGCACTCTCAGTAGGATTGAGAGACGTGTACGGCTGGCTGACCTCAAGCCTTCTTGGGAATCCTTATTTACGGCCAGTGGCCATAGCTTAGGCAGACTTTAGGTTTATTACGTTACGCACGCCGTTCTGCTCGTTTGTCCCAGAATGCTCTGCTCATTGCCTGTGAGTCACCCTGGCGCCACACCACATGCCATGCCAGCTTTGCCCTCCCCATTACTTCAGTAAGACATCGCTCTTCTGCCGAAAAGAGCAGGCTATTTTGTCCGCTTCACACCGCTAGAACAATTACACTAATTTCGCTAGGGTTCAGTAGACCTTGTTGTTCCACATCCATTCAGCTAGCATGATTAATGCAGTTTATTAAGTAGGTTGATAGAAGGGAGGTGTGACCTTTGAACTGCTCAGTTACTGGACTAAGCATCTGCCAAAACTGCAATCCCAGCAGATTACGTTGGCTGTTTTATAATGAGTCATGATGTGTTGTAAAATGAGTCTTTTTAGTGTTCACTGTTCAGAGTAGTTTTCTTCGTCATTTTACTGTAATAGGACTTGTCAGGAGGATCTGCCGAATTAGGTTGATTATAGTATTGGTATAGAACACCATACTAAACTACTCTGACATTATTTCCTGCACAGCAAAGGAATAGTTTTATCTGGGTTGTGATCATACAGTCGAACGATTCTTCTGAGTCAATTCTTTGAAATGAATTAAACCACTCACAAATGAGTCACAGATGAACTCACTGGTCTAAAACGGATTACTTTCTCATTGAATCTGTCAATGTTTTTTGAATGAACTCACTCACGGTAATAGTGTAAGTCTGAAGACTTTTTTTTTTTTCAAAAGATGTTTCTTATTGTCTTATTTATTTAGTTAAAAATACACTAAAAACAGTAACGTTGTTTGTTTCCTAGATGAATATATTTAAAATGTAATGCAAATGTAAATTTATTCCTGTGATGGCAAAGCTGAATTTTCAGAAGCCATTTCTCCAGTCTTCAGTGTCACATGATCCTTCAGACAACTTTCTAATATGCTGATTTGGTGCTCAAGAAACATTTCTTACTATTATAAATGTTGAAAACGGTTGATGTTTTTCTAAATTCACTTGTTAAAATCAAGTGTCAGAATTGGTTTATTCTTTGCAAATCCCATCTCATCCCGTTAGGACGGTTCCGTTAACCTCTGTATTGCACTACATGCTCAGTTTAAGTCTTAGGATTATTCGGGGTAGCAGCCTCTCTGAGGTGACTTGTGAGATTCAGAAAAGAATTCATTGGAGAGAACTCACTCAGACTTATTTGCCAGAGTAAGCATAATTTTGTTTGCGTTTGAGACGTGTTCCCTCAGGCATTGAAGATTATGTGTTGATTCTTCTGCCTAATCTTTCTCAAATAGCGAGTCAAATCCAGCAGCAGATGCCCGACTCTGGATCTTCCACAGCTCTCTACCTCTTTATCTCCACAGGGAGATGTCATAAACGATTAGATCCCATAATTGAAAATGAAGTTTGAGATGGAGGAAGGGCCTATTAGTTATGAGATGTGTGAATTTTGCTGTGGTTTAATGGCGCAGTGATGCCATTCAGTTATGTGGTTGTGATGTACTCGGATGATTATATCATCATTTTAACAGGCCTATTTCTATCGGTGTATGATTATTTGATTTAAATCTCGATGTTCGATCAACGTGTGACTTTTAGTTCCAAACACAAATCGCAATACAAATATTTTTTTACATTTAGTCATATAGCAGACGCTTTTATCCAAAATGACTTGAGGACTAAACCAAGCGAGTCATCGTGAAGAGGAAAAAATAACGCAAGTGCTTAAAATACAAAGCTCAGATATTGCTTGGAGTAGCATAAAGCCAGATAAGCGAGTATTTAAAGAAAAAGGCAAGATTTTTTTTTTTGTAATTTAATTTAAATGTTTATATATGTTAGTGTATTTATTGAAATATTATAGTAAAATATACAATTATTAAATTCATTTTTGCAAGCTCAAATTAAGCTAAAAGTATTTTGACCAGCGAATTTCAGAGAATGTAGCACTTAGGGTGTTTTGTCCATCATTAGAACGGCCACATCTGAGGTAGTGAATGCATTGTGTTAAATTTTCATCAACTTGTGGAAGTTCACTGTAGCTATGTGGGCACTCAGTTTTTTTTTTTTTTTTGGTCATTCTGACAAAACCTCATGTTATTAAAGGAATACTCCACTTTTTTGGAAATAGGCTCATTTTATAAATCCCCCAGAGTTAAACAGTTGAGTTTTACCGTTTTCGAATCCGTTCAGCTGATTTTTTTGATATTTAGAAGAATATCAGTAACCAGACCGTTTCTGGTCTCATTGACTACCATAGTATATTTTTTTCCTACTATGGAAGTCAATGAGATCAGAAACTGTCTTGGAACTGATATTCTTCTAAATAACAGAAAATCGGCTGAATGGATTTGAAAACGGTAAAACTCAACTGTTTAACTCTGGGGGAGTTGTAAAATGAGCCTATTTCCAAAAAAAGTTGGAGTATCCCTTTAAAGATTAAGTGACTGTGCAACGCACAGGCTAATTAAATGGTTATTTCACCACCCCAAATAATTATGTCATCATTTACTCACCCTGATATCTTTTGTTCAGCTTCGGAAAACAAATGAAGATCTTTTTGATGAAATCTGATAATTTCTATCCCTCCATTGACAGCCTACGCAACCACCACTTGCAAGCCCCAGAAAGGTAGTACAGATATCGTTAAAGTAATACATGTGACTCCAGTGGCTTAAACTCAATTTTATGAAGCAACACGAGTGCTTTGTTCGCGAAAAAACAAAAACATAATCTACCACTTTATTTACAAAATTTGAATCTCCAACAACATCTGCTGTTGTCAACATGTATGCGTTGTGGTGCTCTCGTAAACACATGTTAAACTGTTTTACTGACAGTTTGAGGATCCACTGGAGATGCAAGATTTAGTCACAAGTTTAGTTATCTAAAGGCCAGGGGAAAGCAATAGTAAGGATTTATAATACCGGTAATAAAAATGACGAAATATGGATATACCAGGTTTCCGCCCGACAGCGACAACATATGCTGTACGATATATATATATATATATGAAGAGTTCAGATGCAAAAGCCTCTAAGTGCCATTTGAAATTTTCTCCTAGAATGATCATTTTTTATCAAGCTTGTATATTTAAGTTCAGTAATTTCACTTAAATGACAATTAATAGGTAATCTTCATTGCAATTTAAGTGAAATTACTGAACTTAAATATACAGGCTTGATAAAAATGATCATTCTAGAAGAAAATTTCAAATGGCACTTAGAGGCTTTTGCATCTGAACTCTTCATATATAGTTATTTTTTTTTACCGTACTGTGTGCTGCACAGGGGGAATATTTAGCAATGATGACTGGCTGACTTTGCATCATCCCACTTACTACAGTCTAGCATGTAAAAGAAGATTAAATATGTTTTACAATATTGCATTGTAATATTGATCTTAAAGTTGTCTTATTAATTTTTTTGAGTCACATCTCAAATAAAATGTTGGAGATACACTTGCCACAAACATCTCTCGCTCTCTCCTTTGTTCTCTTTCTTTTTTCTTTCCCTGGGTCTTTCTGCTATTTTCTGTTTGACTCTTGTGCTCCTTTCTCCCCACACTCCCATGCACGTTCGAACATTCACAGTCAGTCATGAAGTAAATGTAGTTGTGTCCAGATTCCCAGCACCTCTCCCCTTCTCTTTCAGCTCACTTTGATGTGTGGCTGCAGTCAGACAGAATGCTAAACTCATCCAAATGAGCAGGACTCTTGGTCTCTTTTAGGTCCTTAACAGCCCTGACTTCAAGAGTACTCAGGAGATGGCTTATATATGTTTTTTATTTATTATTTTTTTTAGAATTTCATCATTGTCAGAGTTCTCCCTTATGCAGTCTAAACACCTCTGTGCACACTTAAAGGACGTGTTCACTCAAACATGTATTTTTTTTTTTTTAATTAACTTCTACTCATGTTGTTCTAAACTTGTATGAGGGTATGTAAATAATGACAGATTTTTATTCTTTGGTGAACTAAAGCTTCAAGCCTCTAAAAAATGTGCACATAGCAGATATTTTATGTATTTGCCTAATGGCACAGATTTGGTTGTGTCGTGTTAACAGAGCTTGAACTCGTCGCTCTGTTTGCATTGCGTTCTAATTAAAGCTGCAGTCTATAGCTTTTCCTCTTTGTCGCCATCTCTGTTCGAAATCTGCAATTGGATTTATTTGCGGAATTATCATCTTTACGTGGGTTGTAAATTGGCATGAAACAGTGTGGAAGAACAGTGTTTTGAGTGCTGCTGTCAATCACCACGCTGTGTGGATACTGTCATACAGAATCACAGATTTACTTTTTAAAAGTTTGAACAACATAAGAATATTCACTGGAAAACAAGTAAGTAACATCCATTTCGTTCTGATCAACTAAGGGGGAAAAGCATTCGACATGATAAGCGTCGTTAGATTTAATCAACGCGATTTACAGCAACCGTGCAAATTATAGCCTACTTTGTTCTCAAATTGTTCATGTTAACAACATCAGCATTGCGTGACTAATGTTAAATTTAATGTGTTTTATGGTTACCTGTAGTTCAGAATTCATATTCGCCATAATAGCAAAACGAGAAAGGCAAAACAAAGGAAACTCCATAACTGTGTGAATTTGTACTGTGAAAACGTACTGTTACACGATTGAACTATTGAAATGTCTTACTTGTTCAGCAGAAAAAAGCAGTCTCTTCTTCCGTTTTGAACCCCTTCAAAACACAGAGTTAACGCACTTTTCAAAAGCCCCGCCGATGTTTAAATCCTTGTGTTTGCATGAGACGGTTTCTTTCTCTTTCCCTAGACACCTTAAATCAGAAGTACAAAGTCTTTTGGGTTTTATAACTGCTGAATCTCCAGTTGACACTGATTTGGGTCTTTCTGGATGCCATAAGTTTAATTATGTGAAGTGCTGCGAGCCTGTGAGAAAAGCCTATACATCTTTACATCTCCTCGCATGCAGTATAGCCGGCTAGCCAAAACTCCTTCTTTGTGTTTACGGGTGCTCGCATGCTCAAATTTCCCCCGGAAACCCACCAGTACCACTGGAATTAAAATCATTATTACAAGCTAACCGTTTTGGATCTAGCTATGGCAAGCAGATAATTTTGACCACTGGCAGAATGTTTTTTTTTTTTTTTTTTTTTTTTTTTTTAAATAATTATTTTGGATTATTTTTAACTAAAAAAAGTTACGGACAGCAGCTTTAATCTGCTTTGTTTAATGGTTCTTTTTTGCCACAGTAATAGTTGATTGAAGGAAAGGGGCAGCGCTCGACTGTAATTAGGCTTTATTAAGTGTTTTTCAAGAATTGTGTTACTTTACATGCTTGCCATCTCAACATGAGGACAGTCTGATCCTCATTATTTGTGGTAGACAAACGAATGTGATTTTTCTCTTCTGCTCGCTTTTAATCTTCTACTTGAAAAATTAAATTAAATTATGCGGACAGTGATCTAAACGTAGATTATTTGAATGCTTCATTTGCATCAGCAGTTTCCTCCGTGTACTTTCCTTGCCGCATATAACCAAAGAACAAATACTATTAATGACTACTGTTTAATGCAAGGCTCGGCATATATCACCAAAATGAAGCTCCGTCTTTACATTACAAATGGGGCAGAGAAAATGAGGCAGAGATATAATTGTGAAATTACCATTCAAAGGTTTAGGGACACTTATTTTACGTGCATCATATTTAAGAATGCTGTGTGGTGTGTGTGTGTGTGTGTGTGTGTGTGTGTCTGGTTTTCACACAGCTAATGTTACAGCCATGTACTATGGCTACTGTATGTTGCCTGATGGTACATATTGCCTTGCACCACCGCCACCTGGGATTGACGCCAGCGCCTATTATACCTCACTGCCCCCTGCCATGATGTCAGCACCTCCTGCATCTTGTCCTCCTCCTCCCCCTGGAACCACACCCTTGTTGGATCCTGTTGCTGTAATCCCATCAGCCCCTGCTGCAGGTCCAGTCACGGTGTCAGCTCCTGCTTCTGCTCCACTCTCCCATTCTGCTCCTGCCGCCCCTCCAACTTCCAGGTAAGCATCTCTGTTTTTGCTTTCTGTAGAGATTGAAGTATTTCAAAAATCCTATATTGGTCTTTATTTTCCTTTTCACCCATCAGTTCTCGGCCCCCTCAAACCACAGCCGCCCCGGCGGTGGTGGCCGCTGCCACCCCTGTTGCAGCCATCATCCCTCCACCTCCTGACATCCAACCTGTCATTGACAAACTAGCCGAATATGTTGCCAGAAACGGGGTGAAATTTGAGACCAGCGTGCGTGCCAAGAATGACCCACGGTAAGCAATTATGCTCCTGCTTGTTACAGTCATCCCTACAGATACAACGGTCTCACTGCTCCTATTAAATTACTGTAATATGTAATGACTATAAACCACTCTCTCTGTGTGTTTCTTCTTCACCCTAAAGATTTGACTTCCTGCAGTCCTGGAACCAGTACAACTCCTATTACGAGTTTAAAAAGCACTACTTCATGCAGAAAGAAGGCCTGAGTGTGCAGGAGGTAGTTTCTCTTTTCTTTTCTCGCACGCTAGTTTTTATCTCTTTTAAATTAATTTCTAAGTACGTTTTAAAATATTTGTGTAGCAGATGGAGGTACATTTATTACAGGAACAGCTCCTCGCCCTGTGTGAACAACCTCTCAGTGTGAACAGACCATTGTCTTTTTGATACTAGCAAGCGGTTTTGCATGTATATGCGATGCTAATAGCACATTATGACATATTTAGCATCTCATTAACTACTCATTTGGTTTCAGAAATTGATGTTTACCAACTTAAATAATCATGTTTCATAACCTTCAAGGTTTTTAATAGATGGTGGCTCTTCTCCAAGGCCACTTCTGTGGATTCTGCATTGCTTATTCACCCCCGTATATTTCTGTTCATTAATTGCGCACATTTTCAGGCAGAGAGACTTGATTTGACATTTGCTGACTGACTTCGGTAGAAATATTAAAAAAACATCAGTATGCAAAAATGCAGTACATGGATTTTGAGAGTAATGTAGTGTTTCATCAATCGTTAGAGACGGTAACTTCTGTGAGTGATGGTTTCTTGTGTACTGGTAGGATAAAACAATTGTAATATAGGGCATGTTAAGCCCAAAATATAATTTTTCAAGAAAAACCCTAGCTTAATGCAGATGAATTATAAGTCAGTGCAGTAAGCAGATTAGCGTCCTCTTTAGTAATGTAGAAACAGTGAGATACAATACTATAATACTATTTAGTTTAATTGTAATTCAATAAGGCAGTTCAGGACAGTGTAAAGGGTGTAATATGAGGGCAATTAGTAAACAATAGAGGTTTTCATGCAGTCAATACAGAAACAGTTTACTTTGATCCTTGCTCTACTTTAACACCGGTATACTGTAGATGGAGATTGAGCAGTTGTTGTTCAGAGCAGATATATTAGAGGTTGCTTATAATTTTTTGAAGAGCATTCTTCTAGCAGAATCGGTTCACTTTTACTTGAGTTTCTAGAATATTCATAGTCAATTTTCATTAAATTGCCCCTATAATGCTATTTTAAAGGATCCTAATTTTGTTTTGCAGTCTCCTACAATAGGTTTATATGCATCCAATTCTAATGTATAAAAAACATTCACGTTTTCTTATAATATACTTTGCAACATCACCTTATTTTGAGAAATTATTTTGAGAAATAAGTATTTCTCAATGAGTTTTGTTCGCTCTAAACCACAACTTCCCTCGAATCTACTCTTACTCTGATTGGTCAGATGACCCTGTCTTTTGCGATTGGTCATTGCGTCTTCTCGACAACACAAACCAAACTTTTCCTGGCCTTAGCTACAGCAACCCCCCCTGTTTTTCAGGGCGCAGATATAATGCAGTAGATGTCATTCGAAAAGACCAATGTAGACCATAGGCAGGCATTATGCAAATTTGTTACATTGTTACAAACGTATGTAAAAGGAAGTAAGACTGGAATTGCTGATGACTTGTTTCTGCAATTAATTATTTTTTAAGGAAGCAATAACTGTTTTTGTCATGTGCTTTGATTTGTAAAAATTTGCAGACAGTTTATCTTCACAAACAGTTACATTACACATTACATTAGTTCATTATCCATTTTTAACTAGAATTTAAATTAAAAAAAACTTATGAATTTATTGGGATTTTCCAAATACATTTTCATAAAGCGTTTTAGTATGAACATTTAATTTAATATTTTTTTTTACAGTTTATAATTGTTTAAAGCTAATAAATCTTAATCAGTTAAACATTGTATTAATAATTTATTATTTATTAACGCTGAAGTGTGCAGTTATTTCAATATTAAAATAGTCTTTCTTATCTTTGTATCTCTTTAATTTGATTTAATTTTCAAAAATGCAGTCGATTATCATTAAAAACAATGATTAGTTGTCCACTTTTTTCAATTATGTTTATCCAATAAAACATGAAGCTTAATCAGTTAAATTATTAACATTGACAACAATATCACGGTTTCATGTGCAGCAACAACCAACTAAACTATACACTCAATCAGTGGTATGATTTGGGGCCAGAACTATTTTTTTTTTTTGTCTGCTTGTTTTTTGTTCATTACCAAACTATTTTTGCAAAGCCATTTGCCGCAGAAATTACACACTTCAGCTGTGTGTTTTCAGGTAAATCCTAGATTACTGGTCTCAGTCTGTGTGAACAGCAAATGATGCTAGTTTTGACCAGAAAAATGCATCTTGATATGTTTACCAGTCAATTAGTCATGGTGATTTGGAAAAAAAAAAGATGTCAAGAAGGGCAGACATAATACGGACTCATAATTCTGTCCTTGATTATTATTTTTTGACCATATTTTCTTTTATTTTTTATTTGTTTTCGTGTATTTTGCCTCTAATGGTGTGTCCGATGCTGTAAATCCATTATGCCAAGACTTGTTGTTTTCCCTGTCATTACTGATAATTAACTCACTGGTCATTCTTAATGCATTGAGAGGCAAGATAGACTTAACTGCAGCTGGCAATATTGAATATAAAGAACGTTCCAGTGAATCGAATTAGAATAAGAGGGTTTTTTTGAATACATCTGCCGGTAAGTGCTCAGAGCGGCCTCTCTGTAATTCCCCCACGCATGGCACTGGCTAATACAAATTTTGAAAGCAAGTGATAGACTGGCATTATGTTTATTGCAAAAAGGAGGTGGGATTCTTTATGATTTTGAAAGGAACGCATGCATGCTTTAAGCGATCGTTGACCTCTGGCCAATGTTCACATTATGCACTTGTGCTGTTTAACTTTGAAGTGATCTAAATTCCCACTATATCTCCTAAACAATAATAGTCTGTTGTAGTAATAGGGATTTGTTCACAGTTTGGTTCAGAAGCACTTGTGACAGTAGAGCATGACTGAGGTTTGGATTCCCAGGGAAAGCATGAAACTAATGAAATCTAAACCTTGCATGCAGTGTTAAGTTGCTGACTTAACACTGCCAGTCTGCCAAATGCATGAATGTAAGCAGCAGAGTCCAATGTTTTCAAAGACTATAATGTTAATGTGTTTATCTGAATATTTGTTCCATATTTGTCCAAAGGGACTACATTCCTTGGTAAAAGAAAGACATTAAAGATGCAGTTAGTGATTTCTAAGAAATGCTGTTGAAAATGGATTGGACAGAGCAGCACAACACACTTGAAGCCAATCAGCAGTAGGGGGCGTATACAATCGTGATTGAGGAGGAGAGAGAGTGAGCAAGAGGGAGATTTGAAGAAAAGAACGTATAAAGAGAGATGGCTGAGAGACATTACAAAAGAGGTCAGAGGAATATCACTGGAAATGGAAGGGTTATGATCATGCAAGAGCTTTAGGACCCATATTCAAATTAGAATAGCTTTCCAACAATGTAAGCGGGAAAGCCTGAAAACGGGCGCTGAGGGTGCTTTGTTTCTGCTTCAATATGTGAGTAACAATGGTTTTGCCATTTCACAGAACCAGAATAGGCTGTTGTTATAATGTAAGCTATAAAAACAGGACAGTTTTGAGTGTCATTATTTGTCTGGAGATGGTGTGCTGCTGGTTTAAACAATGAACTCTTGCTGGTATATATTCTTGTGTACTACATGTTCATTGTTTGTTCTTCCCTTGTCATTCATCATCTTCGTTTTATTTTTTGCAAAGGATTATATTGCTTCACTTTAGCTATGATAAAGGGAATATCCACTCTTGCATTTTGGTGGTGGAGTAATGAAAGGAGGAGTGTGTTTGTTTGGGTTGATTTCAGATAAACAGTGTTTCTTAATATGCTTACTGCACCTCTAAGTATGTGCTAAACATCTGGCGAATTTAGGCATCCTTTTATTGAAAAGGCGTCGTTCATGAATATTTATTAAGTTACTTGACTGGACTCTCATGGAAGGTTGCCAAGCAACTTCTGCATGATCTAATTAATATTCGCTATACCTTGAATTCATTGGGTGTACTACATACATAACAAGGTTATTTGTTTAGAAACAGTTAGATGAAGCACGACAAAATGGAATAGAAAAATGGATGGAATGTATGACGTACTTGCATATACTGTATATTAGCTGTCTCTGTTTATTAGGTGGAATACAAACACAGCCAATTACATCGTGGGATGTAGTTTGCATAGTTTAAGGTGTTTTATTCTGATGGGAATATACAAATTCATATTAAGTGTTGATTTGTTTTCATATGTCGCTCACAAGTTTACTCACTTTGATTTGAGTCTGTAGCTGCTGATTTTCCACAGTGTGTGATCACGACTGAAGATCCTACATCCCTTAATGAGACAGTCGGCTGCGAGCTTTGCCTGTGTGTCTCTGTCAGTGTGTGTGTTAAGGTCAGAAATGTGAGGATCAGGCTCTGATGTGTGGTTTTTATGTGTGATGCATGCACTGCTTTCATCCAAGGCTAAGCAGAGACTACGGGAGCTCAGATAAAATGGCCAATGTTCAAATTCTTATTCAACTGCCATGTCATAGTCATCTCTGCTAATTTGGACTTTTTGATACCTCACACTTCCTAGATCTTCTAGTTTGGTCAATTCTCTCATTGCTAGGGATTTAAATGTGACGTGTTGGTTTATGATTAATTATTGAGTAACATATTTAAAAAATACACTATTAATCAAACCCCCTGATCCATACTTAAATTGTTATTTTTTTTTTTTTTTTTCACCGTTGGTGCAATTAAAGCCTGATTTAATATGATTAATTAATCAGGCGTATGTATTGAATTAAATTAGAAAAAATTAGATTGACAGCCCTTGTTCTAACCAGTCTTCAAACCAGTTTTATTGGTTGCCTATTAGGACTGCACGGTGATATCCACCACAACATTGCGATATTTTTCAGGTAATTTAACAGTATTTAGGTACAGAAGTTAATAATTAATTTAACAATATAAATTAATAATAATAATAAAGCGAATCAAATGTAAAATAAGACTGCTTAGTCTTCACTGTATGAATTAAATTTAAGCTACAGAAGTGAGCCAAAGTACGGATCCAATAAAATG